TCTGGGAGATGTAGCTGTCTCCACGATGGCCGACACAGCCGAAGTACACGTACCCAGCGTCTCCACCAGTAATGTCGCGAGCAAAAACAAGACCTGCAGCCAGGAGTTCACCCGAACCAGAGAAACGAAAACGTTCTCTTCTTCTTCGTAGCCTAAAACGGGTATGAGCCACAGCGGCTCATTCATCAATGGTGGCAATATGCAGATGCTGTGCATAGGCTTCCGCAACCACCCTACATCTCGCGCTCACAGCCCGCACACCCAGCTGCTTATACTGCACCTTGGGCGGCACCACCAGTCGCCAATTCTTGGAGGACGCCCGATAGCCGACCGATATGCTACGCCTGCTTTAGTCCCGGACACGTTGCCCGCTACTGCCGCCGTCGAGCTCAGACGTTCGGCGACTATGTCCGATCGTCGCAGCCCGGCAGCCAACCCTTCGCGCAATACGAGCCGGTCTCGTCACCTCGCTATGCCCCTCCCAACGACCCCGACTTCGTGACGCCGCGCGCACCCTCTCCTCGTCGGCGATCGCCCTCCTTCATGCGTCACCGGCCCAGACCTTCTGACCAGGAAAACTAAGCACCGCAGTTCAAGAGGCAAGAACTGCGCCATTTTCGAGCTGTCCAAGCCCTCGCCCCTCTCCTGCTAACGTGGTCGCAGTAACTGTTGAAGGTTATTCTACTTTCGCCCTTGTAGACACCGGCGCCGCTGTTTCTGTTATTGCCGCTAATGTCTGCCGTGTATTACGTAAAGTCACGATGCTACTTTCGGGACTGTCACTCCACACCGCAAGTGCACAGCAAGTAACGCCTCTCGCAGCCTGCACTGCAAGAGTGTCCATCGAAGGCATTGTTTATATTGTGGAGTTTATTGTCCTCGCTGTCTGTTCGCATGATGCCATCCTGGGATGGGACTTCCTATCCCGCCATAATGCCGTCATCGACTGCGCACGCGCTGAAGTTGAGTTTTCACCCTGTTGTGATGTCCCATTACTTGACGCTCTTCATCAGCCGCCGAAGTTGTTCGTGCATGAAGATACCGATATTCCACCTGAAAATTTCGCACTTGTTCCAGTTTTATGCAACGCCTACACTGACGCTACGGTCTTCTTTATGCCTTCCGATATCTTCACGAGTCGTCGAGCTCTGCCGCTGCCTTTCGCAACGATTGACCTTGTCGCCGGAAGAAGCAATATGTTCATACTCAACCCACTTTCTACACCTGTCACTTTGCTTGCGGGGGAATGCCTCGGCCGCGTGCAGGATCTCGACCCTTCGTCTTTGGTTAATGTCCCGGATGACTACTGCGACCACCCAAAATCACTGTCAGCCCTCGAGGAGTCGTCCAAGGATACGTTTTCCAGCGCTATCACCGACACCCTCACTCCCACCGAACATGCTTACCTGCTTGATCTTCTGCATGAGTTCCGGAATTTTTTCGATGTGTCCCAACCTCAACTAGGCCGCACGTCGCAAGTCAAGCATCATGTTGACACCGGCCTACACCAGCCACTGCGTCAAAGACCATACCGTGTCTCCACTGAAGAGCGCCGCGTCATCAACGATCAAGTCGAAGATATGCTTCGTAGACGTCATTCGACCATCTCACAGTCCCTGGGCGTCTCCCGTCGTCCTGGTGCGTAAGAAAGACGAATCTATCCGATTTTGCGTGGACTATCGTTGTCTGAATAAGATAACCCGCAAGGACGTATATCCTTTGCCGCGCATTGATGATACCATTGACACCCTTCACGGAGCAGAATTCTTCTCGTCGCTAGATTTGCGGTCTGGCTAGTGGCAAGTTCCAATGGCTGAAGCCGATCGCCAAAAAACTGCATTTATTACATCTGACAGACTATACGAGTTTAACGTCATGCCCTTTGGGCTTTGTAACGCGCCCGCCACGATTGAACGACTTATGGATAATACGCTACGTGGCCTCAAGTGGAATATGTGCCTCTGCTACCTCGAGGATGTCGTGGTTTTCTCGCACGACTTTTCTACGCACCTCCTTCGCCTCAGGCACGTTTTGACTTGTCTGACCAACGCTGGCCTGCAGCTTAACCTGAAAAAATGCCGCTTCGCTGCACGTGAGCTCGTCATCTTAGGCCATATCGTGTCGAAGCACGGCGTATTACCTGACCCAGCAAAACTTCGAGCAGTCGCAGAATTTCCCAAGCCGACGACCATGAAGGAACTTCGCAGTTTTGTAGGCCTATGCTCATATTTCCGGCGCTTTGTTCGCAATTTTGCATCCATCATGTCACCATTAACCCAGCTTCTTCGCGGTGACGTGAACCTCTCCTCCTGGTCCCCTGCATGTGACGTTGCCTTCACCAGTCTGCGCCGTCTGCTTACTCCCCACCTATTCTTCGCCACTTCGACCCGACGGCTCCTACCGAAGTGCACACCGACGCCAGCGGAGTCGGGCTAGGTGCTGTCCTCGCTGAACGAAAACCCGGCTATTCAGAATACGTTGTAGCCTACGCTAGCCGCACTCTGACGAAAGCCGAAACTAATTACAGCGTGACAGAAAAAGAGTGTTTGGCTCTGGTGTGGGCGCTTGGAAAGTTCCGGCCGTACTTATACGGCCGCCCGTTCGATCTAGTAACTGATCACCACGCGCTTTGCTGGCTCTCCACGCTGAAAGACCCTTCTGGCCGCCTTGCGCGATGGGCACTCCGCATCCAGGAGTACGACATTCGCGTCGTATACCGCTGCGGACGCAAACACTCTGACGCTGACGCCCTGTCCCGCTCACCTTTGCCATCAGATCCGACGTGCGGGAACACATGCCTCCAGACCTTGTCATCGTTAAATCTTGACTCAATTGCCACGGAACAACGTCGTGACCCGTGGATCGCATCTCTTCTCGAGTATCTATCCGGTACGCCCAACCTTCCGGTATCTCGATCCCTTCGCGCTTCCATTTTGCCATCCGTGATCAACTTCTCCATCGACGCAACTACTCTCCTAATGGCCGCCGGTGGCTACTGGTCATTCCACGCACTTTACAATCGCAGGTATGCGCCTCTCTTCAAGATGATCCACAATATGGCCACGCCGGGGGGTTCAAAACATATGAACGCCTTCGCCATCGCTATTACTGACGCGGCATGTACAATTTTGTATGCAAATTTGTGCAGTGCTGTCCTGACTGCCAGCGGCGCAAATCAACACCGCTACGTGCGACTGGCGAATTGCAGCCACTTCCGTGCCCTGCCAAGCCATTTTATCGCGTTGGCGTTGACGTCTACGGCCCCCTTCCATTGACACCAGATGGCAATCGGTGGATTATAGTGGCGGTCGACCATCTAAGACGCTACGCCGAAACAGCCGCTTTACCGAGCGCTACCGCTCATGATGTCGCCTCTTTCATTTTACGTCAATTTATCCTTCGACATGGCACCCCTCCAGAGCTCCTTAGTGACAGAGGCCGCACTTTCCTCTCCGAGGTCGTCGAAGCTCTGCTTTTGGAATGCCATGTCATTCATCGGAAAACGACAGCATACCACCCGCAGACTAATGGGCTAACAGAACGGTTTAACCGCACGCTGGGTGATATGCTCTCAATGTACGTGGCATCTAATCATAGCAACTGGGACCGTGTTCTCCCATACGTCACATTCGCATACAATACTGCAATACCAACAACCACGGGATTTTCACCTTTCTTCTTTCTTTATGGACGTGACCCTTCCCATACAATTGATACTCTATTTCCCTACCGTCCTGATGCTTCCGAATGTCCACCTATCTCTGATGCTGCTCGACAAGCCGAAGAGTGCCGCCAGGTCGCCCGTGCGTTCACCTCGGACGAGCAGCAACGCCGGAAAGAAAACCGTTGCACCTCTCTCCCGGATCCCAACTATGCCCCAGGCTTTCTCGTGTGGCTTGCCATCCCATACCGAACTCCGGGACTCTCATCAAAACTTGTCCCCCGGTACGAGGGGCCTTACACCGTTTTAGAGAAAACCTCTCCGGTTAATTACCTGATTGAGCCAGTTTCCCGATCGGATGACATGCGCCGGCGTGCACGTGATATCGTCCATGTTTCCCGCCTAAAACCGTATCATGAGCCTCTCCCTGAAACTTCTTAGGTCTTAGGAAAAGGATGGCTCCTTTTTCAGCGGGGGCGATTGTGAAGAAGAAGATGTGCCTACAGCAAGCAGCATCGACAACGCCCGGCTCTTGGCTTGTGCTTCGGTTCGTTGCTGTGCTGATCGCTGGACGGGTTCTTCACGCTGTCTCGTCGCTGTCTTTAATGGCTAATAAACCTCCTCACAAGTTGAATAAAAATATTAAATTAATTTCTGTTAGCGAATAGAAATTCTAATTATTTGAGCATAACAAGTCAAAAAACACAAGTTCATCTTCTTGATCATATTGGCATAGTGACAGTAGCAGATGTTGCTCTTCCAATGTCATAAATTTCTCGAGATGAAGATCAGTTCTAGTTTTGCTAATCATTAGTAGGATAGACACCATGTACTGATTTTTCAGAGAAAGCTGGAAGCTTGCCGAGATCAAAAAGGTCAGTGATATTCCCCATTCAGTGATTTTTATTGCGACCCTACATGAATGTCATGTTCACCGGCCGCCCAATGCTAATCCCCAGAGTTATATTCCAACTTTCATCAACTGACTCTTATGTTCTCGGCCCTTTGAGGTGTTCCCTCCAATAATAATTTCGTTATCTGACTTAGGTAGTTTTTTGGGTCATTATCTCAGCCAGAGCCAATGCTTTGCTGTGATGTTAGAAATGGTCATAGAATTACAATGTACCAAGGGCCCTGTTACATTATCTGTCTGTGCTATTTTCATGTGCAAGTTTAGAATGCCGGAACTCATACCAGGAGGCTTCTCGGTGTGTTTCGCTAAGATAACGACATCTTTTGATTCTTGATCAAAGCAACAGTACTCACAACTTAAGCTTCCCCATTTATGAAGTACACTTGGCATACATTTTTTAAAACAGCAAAGCAGCGCAAAGGATATCAGCTTTGACAGCTCCGGCTGCAGTGAGACGAACAACGAGATCTTCAGAGGGACTGAGGGAGTCAATCAGAGTCTTATACAGGACGGGCCTCAGCTCGGGCGACATTTTTACACCAACCCACTGGCCAATTAGCCAGGCTACACGACGACGCACAATGCGGTACCTGCAAGAAAATGAGAGAAAATAATAAAGAGTTTTAGCAAGTTGAGGAAATACTGTATGCACGAGCGTTACCGTATGATGGTACCACTTCTTTTCCAGTCATAACCCTTTTGCTCGTGCATGCACCCCTACACAACAAAAGCATCTTCAAAAATTAGTGTTCGGTTGTCACACCTGATCGTTGTCTGCGAACTTACGCATTGTTAACGAGACACCTCACGTTCGAGGAACAGGGTGGGGCAAAAGCACATTAAACTGGAAAGGAGAAATGCTACCGTATTGCCTGACCGTATATTCTTAACTTGCTAAAACTCTATAATGAGAGTAACCCCTGCACTGTACACCACAGAAATACTATTACTGCAATTTGTTTTTGTATTTATTAACAAAATTTAAGTTTTAGCAAAATAGATTACTGTATAGTACTCCTATAATACACATCATTTCTATTAATTAAACCTGCTAACCAAAAAGAAATCAAGGCACATAATTTGAAAGTCGTTAAAAATTGCTCTAACGTACTGCCAGGTTACATTCTTTATAAACGAATGTGAGTGCTTTTTAAAAGTATGCACTACTAAACACTTCATTTTGAGCTTCGACCAGTGCTCTGCCACTTCTTCTAAGACTTGTGCAACTTCAGACGAGATGGCTTTCTCATTTGCAAGAAATGAACATTGTACAGCATAATAACTTGTCTTCTGTGCAAAGAGCGGTCGTTTACTCCTCACTCTATAAAGTTCCTAACGTGCAGCCATTGTGTGTGATTAGTGGTAGCCCTATGCATGGTGCCAGAAAAAAGTTGCGTGGCCTCTCTGCACCCTAGAGTCACCAAATTTAGTCTCTTTTGAAGTTCTTTTATGCAAGCTTTCAACTGAAAAATATTACCTTGGCTCAGAAACTTTCAATTCAGGAATGAGCACATGAAGAAACCAATTGTCGAAGTCCAATTCATCATGTAAATCAAAGGCGGCGAGTCCGACAGCTGTGTACACTGCAATAAGAAGAAAAATGAAAAAAACACTATAATCTATGACGTACAACAAAAGCAGTCACATTGGACGACATGTTAGATGCAGTTTAACACACATACGGGGGTAAGGGAGTGTTAACATCAACATGGTGATACGTTACAAACAAAAAAAAAAAGGCCTTTGAATATGTGGCCAGACATTTTGTAGCAAAAATAGATACACCATGAGGAAAAATTTGCTAGCAACGAGCACAAAGCGTCCACCTCGATGGGACAGTGGCTACTGCGCTTGGCTGCTGACACAAAGGTCGCAGGTTCGATCCCGGCTGAGGCGGTCACATTTCGAAACAATTTTCTTCAGAATTCCTACAACTTTAACCTGCACTGTTCTAATCTGAAGTCGCTTTGTGGTTACTCAAAAGCATCCTGGTGGGAAACAGTATTTTGAGTAAGGAAACATTTTTGACACATCACTGCAGGAATTCTAAAAGGATCTTAAGTATAGTAGCTTGGTATTTAGGGCTCTTCTGGGACTCCTACAGATACTAGCTTTCGCATACACACAGTAATAACCTCGCACCTGCGTCTCTGTTGAGCATAGCCTGAAAGCTGATGGAGCCCTCTGCTGGCTGGATCCCCTGAATCATCTCAAGCAGTAGTGGGGCCAATGTCTCCCGAAATTCATGAAAGATCGTCAGGAAAAGGACTTCACTGCATTGCTGTAGATGAAATGCATCACACAAGTCACATCAGTTGACTTACACTTTGCATACAACAAAATTCCAAAGCATCAATCAAACTTCTCTCTAAAACAGCTCTCTCTCTCTCTTACATTTTTCTCTGTAACTGTGGTGGTGTTTACCGAGTCTTAGATTGACCACCAGACTCCTCTGATTAAAATAGCACACATTAAATTCTGGATTCACACATCATGTCATATAATATACACAAGATGACAAGCATTATTCTACAAGTGAAACAAACCGTGCACGCATGAGCAAGTGCTGCAATCTGTACTCTCCATTTCTTCCGTACTACAGCCTTTCCGTTTGTACATATGCCGGCTCAGTAACACCAGAAGTTGAAATTTGCACATCTTGGTTAACTCAATGAAGTAGGGAGGGAGAGCTTGCTTTCAGCGTTCCATATTATCCTACATTGTCCTACAGATAATTTAAATGTACTCGATTTGGTCTCTCTCATTACAAAACAGAATGTGGTACTGAATATCACTAGCAAAGGCAGCACATGCATCATCCGGATAAAAGGAAAAGTGACAAATAATATATGTAAAAATACGAGTGTACCTACCCTTAAGCAAAACTTCCATGCTTCTCCCCCTCCATCTGATGCTGTAACCAAACAGAAGCCCGTCAACAAATAGTTCAAAGCAACCTCATAAGCAAAAATGTTAAATATGGTCTTCTGCCCTCGCTTTCCAATTAAATTTATACATTTTTTTGAAGAAGCTGCTATATAAAGCTGATTGTAGCCACTTGATGAAGTGGTAGTTCCAATACACAAACCAGCACGAAACATGTACACTTGATACACTTGAACCCATTTATAACCAACTCGAAAGTGCCGTGATAGGTTCTCGTTTTAACAGCAGTTATTTGTATATAAGCACACCCTTGAAAAACTGCGCTTAGTGACCTAGCCAGTATGTTTTGGTGCACATTCATTAAAAAGTGCTAGCAACCCCTCCAGTGACACGTTAGGCCCTTTCACATTTGAAAATCAGTTTTAATCGATAGCATAGGAATATTGTAAGTGTACTAAAATATGATCATAACAACTGTCATATCTGCGATCATTATAAGTGGGTTCAAGTGCAGTCAACTCTGCCTTTGGGTTCCTAGGTGCAGCACATTCCTGGCTAATGAAACTGCTTATTCAATTTATGTCGAGATGACTCTCCTATGATCCAATGTATTGGTGTCTTTGTTGTCATATCACAACGCCTTATACGTTTTCCTGAGCTGCCCTCTGCCATTTCCGTAGGGCTTGGGTAGGGACCAGGACAGGAGATGTGGCCAGAATAAAAAACCTCCAAGAAAATAAGGCGTTCAGCGACTTTTCCAATAGGGCAATGGCACATGCGCCATGGCATAATGAAAAAGGCGAGTTGCGGGACTGTTTTTGCTTGACACATCACAACACGGCACTCCGAGATAGCCCCAGCAGCCCTGAAGAGCGACCATGTTGACATACCATGGAGCTTGGCCTGACCATGTTCTAAGGGCATCACCCGTGACATGTTTCTGGTTCTCACCAGCAAAAGCACAGTCTGCGAGATTTTTAATATCTATCCAAAGCCCCGAAAGTGGTTTTAGCACGCACAGTTAACAAAAGTAAGGCATTAGCAATATTTTTATATTGCCTGGTGAGCTATCACAAGAAGAGGACTCTACACGGATGTGTCAGGTATGACTTGTAATGCGTGGAAAGCAGTGAAAAATATAGATAGCCACTTCTGCTAAGTGAAAGATTGATGTTCCAAATACAGTAGACTCTAAGTTAAACGAACTTAAACAGAAGTGTAAGTGAAACTGGTTTCACACTTGTATTCTGCACTGACGTTACTCACTGTAAATAGAACTCCTGTTAAACAGAACACAACTTTCTGAGTCCCTTCAGGTTCTGTTTGTTGAGCATCTACAGCAGTACACCTTTTTGCAGTGTCATATGTCAACACCCAGTATTAGACAAGATGTTTCCACATGATAGATACAATTAAACCAAGCGCACTGCCCCGGAAAACAAATTGGTGGCTTCAGCTGTACTCACCAAATCCCTCAGGGTCATTATCCCATGTAGCCAATTCCTCCTCAGTGAGCAAAAAATAGTGCAGCACTAGCCGCCGGCACATTTCTGTCACCGTAGCGTAAGTGAAGAAGGTCATTTTTATCTGAGCAGCTTCCATGGTGGCAGGATCTTGTACATCTACAGAGAGTATGCAATAGTAAAGAAAGCGTTTGAAAGAGGTGAGAAATTCTTGCAACACAAGTAAATTCAAGAAATTCAACATACTAAACTAGCTCCTAACCTCTTGCCTCCAAATAAATGCTCTGCAGTTTACTACACAATGTGAAGTGAGCAGACTGCAATGTTAAAACAAAGCAATGTTTTAAAGTGAAGGCCACAACATTCGAGTAAAATTACGACACGTTCTTCTGCCATTGCTATGCTTCTGCCATTGCTATAATCTTTCTGCCATGCAGGGCCCTAACTTTGTACTTTGAGAAGCAGGAGCATACGATCAGAAAAAAATAAAAACAACATAAAAACACTTCAAACCTCCTACACAGCGCTGCCTGCTCAATACCTAACAGCAAGAAATTAGGGCACCCTTAAGCTTCACGACTTGAGCGCGACAGCATTCCGTCTTTTTTCTTTACTAGAACGACTGGCGAGGACCAAGCGCTGCTGGATGGTTGAATAATCCCGTCATCGAGCATCTCTTTTACTTGTGTCTGAATAGCCTCGCGTTCTTTAGCAGAAACGCGACAAGGCTGCTGCTGGACGGGGCAGACGTCATCGTCGGTAATAATTCGATGCTTCGTGAGGTGTGTTTGACGGACTCTTTTAGAAGAAGAGGCGAAGCAAGATCGAAACTCCCTTAAAAGGTCGTGGAGTGCAGCCTTCCTCTCGTCTGACACCGTCGAATTAATGTCGATGCGGTCTAGAAATTCCTCATCCTCATGCGTTTCCTCGGACGCGAAACACTCCGTGACGTCGGCAACAGGGTCCCCATAAGCTAGGGTGGTTCCGCGGAAAAGATGCCGGTGCTCGTAATTGAAGTTCGTAACTAGTATCGTTGACTGTCCGTCACGGACGCGCACAACACTTCGGGTGGCGCATACACCTTGGAGCAGCAGAAGTGATAGGTTGCTTTCAGCCACCACGTCGCCGTCTTGGAAGTCTTCACAAGTGACTTCGATGGGAACAGTTGCTCAAGGTGGCAGCGTCACACTGTCGTCAGCAACACGCAGCGCAGGTCTACAGCTGTTATCAGCGTCTCGATCTGTTGCGCCTTGAGTCGAGAAGGTCACGATGCGCTCACGGAGATTTATGATGGCACCGTATTCCCGAAGGAAGTCCATGCCGATAATCAGCTGACGCGAACAGTCGCGAAGAACAAGGCAACTGAGCACAAACGTTGACGCACGAATTTTCACTCTTGCGGTACAGCGACCCAGCGGCGTTGCAACGTGTCCTCCAGCTGTTCGAATTCGCGTTTCATTCCACGGCGTGATCACTTTCCTGAGATCTTTCGCTAGCCTCCCGCTGATGATCGAATAGTCTGCACTAGTGTCTACCAATGCACTGACCTGAAGACCGTCAATCAGCACAGGTATGTCGAGTGACACGCGGTCACTAGGTTCAGATGTGGATGTCGGCGTTTCTTCGGTACTGCGATTATTCTCTGACAAAATGCCTTCGGCGTTTCTTCGGTACTGCGATTATTCTCTGACAAAATGCCTTCGGCGTTGCGTGCAAGCGTCGATGGGAGGTCTTCCGCACTTTGAGTCCCAGTGACCTTGCCCCAGAAGGCCGCTACCTTCAGTTTTCCCGACGAGGGCTCGGGGCTCCTCGGAGATGGTGACCGCGATTGCCATCGTCTAAAGGGTGCACGCTGTTGCGCGAGATACTCTTCGATATCCCTTGGCCTTTGACCAATTCGGGGACGAGGGGAATTGACGGAAAATCCGCACAGTCCAAGTTGCTGGTATGGGCATTCGCGGTAAATGTGACCAGCCTCACCGCAATGATGGCAGAGGGGTCGTCTGTCTGGTGTACGCCAGAGATCAGACTTGCGCATCGGTGCACGGCGACTTTTGATGTCCAAATCAGCGTGCGCTGACTGAATCGCGACTGGCGGCATCATTGTCTGGATCGGGACGTGTGGCACTGGCTGGGTCGGGACTCCTTGACCAGAAAGAGGAGTGGCAGATCGCAAGGCTTCCGCGTACGTACGACGGCGACTGTCAGTAGACACAGGAGCCGTTTCTGGATCAACCGACGTGGGCGGAAAACGATGGGCGTGCAGCACCTGCTGGACCTCGTCAGGATGACACTGGTGATAGAACCAACATCGATTTGCCTTGTCCCGTACATCTTTTCCTTTTCTTCCCGGACAACAGATCGGATGATCTCGCGAATCCATTCGGGGCTCTTGCTTCCAGGGGTGGCGATAATTTCGGGAGTTGAGGCAGCATTCACTTGACGGTCAAACAGGGCAGACCGTTGGTGCAGTACTCGCTCCATTGTTGCCGCTTCAGTAAGAAACTCAGCAACACTTTTGGGGGGACTACGCACCAAACCAGCAAAAGTTGTTCCTTCACACCACGCATGAGGTGGCGCAACTTTTTTTCTTCTGCCATAGCAGGATCCGCTCGCTTGAAAAGCCGTGTCATGTCCTCGACGTACATCGAGACGGTCTCGTTGGGCATCTGGATGCGTGATTGTAGTGCACGCTCCGCCCGTTCGGGGCGGTCGGGACTCCTGTAGGTCTCCAGGAGGCGACGCTGGAACTCGCGCCAAGATGTCAGAACACCATCCCTGTTCAAAAACCACGTCTTGGCACCGTCTTTTAGGCAAGTGTACACGTTCCAGAGCTTCGCGGCATCATCCCAGTAATTGATCGCTGCGACACGTTCGAACTCACTCAGCCAGTCGTCAACATCTTCATGCCGCTCTCCGTGAAAGGGGCTGGGCATGAGCGGGTTCTGGACGGTGCAGTAGATCGGCGTGGTAGGCGTCGGAGCTTGCACGGGATCTTGTGTCGAAGTCATAGTCGCTGCGTCAGTGGTTGGTGTCTCAGGCGGTAGGCCTCGTTGGCTGCGGCTTACTCTATGAACAGGAGTGTCCACGGGTGCAGGGCTTGTGTTACGGCTGCTAGACGGGGTCTTGGGCATCGGGTGGATCGTGAGACATTGTACTCCGCACCTCCACCAGTCTTGTCACGTTACTCACAACAAACTTGATACAGTGGGTTCGTTGAGTCGACTAGCCAAGCAGCGGCTCAGAGAGATCGTCGTTTTCCTCTTTCACTCTTCGATCTCACCCAAGCAAACCATGTGGCAATATTCTGTTCGTAGTGCGAACTTCAAACACTTCGTGTATGAAATCTTTTGGAACTTGCTATGCACCCCCTATGTGGCCTTAAGGGTGCTGAAGTGTGTGTGCCTTCAGTAGTGGGTGAATGGCTTTAAACTATGAAGTCGTGATAATTCCATGTTCTGATGCCCGATGGCAAAGTACGCTTGTCCCATGCATTATTACGGCAGTTATCCATGTTGTATTAAGAAGCATGTATACAGGACGCATGTGTTTGCAATGCATGAAAGCTACTTTCACTGCGTTTTCAAGCAAGGAAGTTATTTTCAATGTATTCACAAGCAGAGGCATGGCCGTGTGCTAGAACAGAAACCTACCGGGTTCGATTCTCACTCAGACCTGGGATTTTCATTATTATTTATCTGCATTTTCTCAATTTCTCGGTCCCGCAAAGATGCTCGATATTTCAGTCACGCAAAGATGCTCGATCTTTCGGTCACACAAAGATGATTTTTCGCTCAGAACCAATGACGCTGACGCCAAAATTTCTGTGAAACGAGCTCTTAAATTCCATCGCATTAAAGATGCATGCAGCTATGACAATGTATATTGTTGATGCTGCATGAGCAACTTCATGACCTAGTGCGCTGCGAGCTTGTACAAGGCACTAAAAAAAAGCACAGCCTTTAGTGCCATGTTTTGTCACACACGAATGATCATCATCAACATTGTGTATGCAGTTAAACCTTGACATCGCAAACTTAGACTGTAACAAAATTCTCTATACAGTTGAAACCCTTTATTAGAGACATGCACATCAGATCAATTCTTGTCTTTTATATTGGGTGTCTCTTACAAACAGGATACAAAGCATGCGTTTTCTTATCATCCCGTGTTTTAATCTTGGCACACTGGTGTCCTTTACTCTAATGCCTCTTACATCAGAGTCTCTGTAAAGAGGTTCGACTGTACGCCGTATTTACTCACACTAATAGGAGTACTTTTTTAAAGAAAATCTGGCTCCAAGTTCGCGGTGAGTCTATTATGCGGGGCGAAATTTCTGAAAATTTTATTTCCGACTAGTATAGACTGCAGATAGCGGATACATCGCCGAACTCACGAATATCTGCACTACAGCTGAAACAACTTCCTTCATAGGCTACACTAGTGCAAAACATGTTGAGCATGCAGTCTCGCGTGTCCGAGAATCGATGCATATGCAATGCGATGCACATTCAGATATCCAAAAAGTAACATAGAGAGAACCGCATTGCTAAGGAAATGAACGTAAAAAAAAATACTACGAAAAGAAAGCACCATTGCGGGGATTCCCCGATTACATTTCAGGCCGCCTAAATTGAGCGCATTATCCTGATAGTAATGTTCTGCACTGAATGGTACCGATCGTTCGGTTTCACGACTTCGCTCACATCGCTTATCCAAGACATTGCAATAGAATTAAGCACTACCATTTGAGCGTTAGAAGCCCTTCTTTCTTCAAGTAGAACCACGGCAAAGAGGTGCGTTGATTCTGTACAAAACCACAACTTTGTTCACCTATGTCCGCCACCTAAAAGCACCGAAAGTGATTAGGTTTAAGCTACTGTTCGGCATGTCACGGAAAGTTTGTACCAGACAACATGAAAATTGGGCGTCGAAAAGGTATCACTCAAGCACTGATCCAAGGGACAGCGCACGTGCTATGATGTTTAGGTTCGCAGCCAGCAGATCAACGGTGACAAAAGTGAGCCGAGCTTGTAAAGTCCACATGGTGGCAACAACGGTGACAGCTCGCGTCATAAAGCCGAAAAGCTTTTCAATTTGCGGACAAGGTAGCAACGCGATAACGACGACACTTTTCTCAACCAGAAATTCAATGCGCACTTGATGAGGACGCTATCGCCTGTTCCAAGCAGAGTGTGTGAGGTGGGAGCCACACCGGCGCCAGTGCGAAGGTTACTCCGACAACCAAGAAACTGCCCTTCTTCCTCACTCGGCGAGCACGCAGGGCTGGTGCAGTGCTGCCACGGTCTTTTTTTTTTCTCTTTCCTCCTCGCTTTAGTAAACATAAGTAAATGTAAGAGGGCATTGAATTGTAACTGCGCAAATACAGTGATCACGGTCGTTAGGGGTGCGCCTATCATGTGCGGAAATACAAAAATCCGGTTTCTCGCGACCAAACTGAGGGGTGGGCCTATTATGCGAGTGAGTACGGTATCGAAGTATCTCAGGTTTTATAACCTCATGTCCATGGAACACACTGTATTTTCAACCTACATAAATGACCGGCCTTCTTTTAAGATTTCAATGTAACAAAGTTTCACTGCTACTGCAGATGAAGGCCAAGGTACTAAACTGAAACTTCTGCTGGTACAATTGGTCATATATTTGACTTGCACGTGGTATGAAAGCATTTTTCAAATCATGCACTACACAAGGCAAAGCAGCTGCCGAATCGGAGCAACTCATTTGCCAGCAGCAACTGTGGGGACAGAGTGCATCTCTATGCTCTCTCATCCTTGAAGCAGCAGATTGAAAGCATATGAATCCTGGCGCATTATATTGCACACAGCTGGACAGTCACTACGCATTGAGCAGTTCTATATACTGCGCCATACAGGACGTGCATCAGCACCCGACTTGGTTTTTTTTTTTTACTGTTATTGAGTTTCAAGTTTACCTACCATGAATAGATTTAGAGGTGGTAGAGGTAAACAAAACAAGCTCTCAGCCATTTTGCAAGCAATCGTGATCATTCTGAAAATTAATGCCATCGAAGAGAAAAAATGTTTTAAAAGCAAGCTTGATCAGCGGGGAAAAGAAAGAAGAAACGATGTTGCCACTTGTTTGCGGATATCGGTGAGCTCATTTTCTGTGATACTGAATTTGAGAGAATTCTATTCTTGACTGAAGAATAGAATAAACAATCGAATAACTTTACAGCAAAAGCTTTTGGAGTGGGCGCATCTATCGCATAGGAATGTTTCTTTCGCTAAACAAATTGTGTGGATTTTCTGTAATTAAGTCAACTTACACGTGTTTTGTTGAGGTAATGCACAGGTGCAGCAACTGAAGTTTGTAAAGCCATTATAAGTATTGCCTAATTTTAAATTCAGCACACAAGGCCACAAAACAGAAGACATCATCAGAATAAATGGTGTTTCCACATTTCAAAGTTGTCACCTTGCTTTCATTAAGTTTTTAACCGCAGCTCTTTTACTTTTGTGGTGTGCAATTGTTTATCAATATTGCATGATGACTGGGCTGAAAGCAGATAGAGTGGCTTGGTTCTTCGAACATGATAGCATTGGTGTCATCGCACTCTGGACAACACCGGAGTTTATTCGACATGCCGTGGTGACAGTATATAGATAGGGTAGAGCGCCGTGGTGATGTCAGGAGATAGGGTAGAGCGAGGCAGTCGGCCAGAGCTGCGCTGTCGTCGGAGATTGCGGGGGCACAATTGGTCGGCATGCAGGATAACTACTGAGTGAGTGCAGTGGCATGCTCGCTCAGTAGTTACCATGGCCTGAACAACAAGAGTTCGTACTGCTGAAGAAGAGTCCAAGCTTCGCATAAGCTTCAAGTATCTCCTGGGTTAATTTATAGACTGTATTTTCTTGCAAGGAACACAATGCATGTACGAATGCACCATTATACCCTTGACAGAAAGGTAGCAGGCAATTAAAATAAAGAAGAAGAAATGGGTGCATAAGTGATTAGTGATGACAGTTTTCCAGTGGCAAATTATGGCTCTCATGACCGCACAATCTATAACTATTCCAAGGACCAGAGACACTCGTCAGCCATAGGTGCAAATTGTTTACTAACCGTCAGGGATCTTCGAAGGAGAGTACTCTGCACATGAAACAATGGCCTTGATCAAGTTCAGGGACTGGACAATAAACCTTTCGAAAAGAAGACCTGTAAAAACAAAAATAAATTCACAAAAATGCAGGAACATGTGAACAAGCTGGCAACATAAAATATTTCATTCATAGAACATTTTGGGTATGTTTAAACTTGGGTATGTTTACATATTGTGAATAGAGATTGTCTTTTGTTTACACCAAAGTTTTCAAAGTTAATATCTGAAATTCCCAATATTTGCTCATTCCTACTTTAAATATGAAATTAAGAGACAACCCTATGAGTGATATGTTGAGTTAAACGTCCCAAAACCACCATATGATTATGAGAGACGTCGTAGTGGAGAGCTCCCGAAATTTTGACCACCTGGGGTTTTTTAACGAGCACCCAAATTTGAGCGCATGGGCCTACAGCATCTTCGCCTCCATCGAAAATGCAGCCGCCGCAGTCAGGATTCGATCCCGCGATCTGCGGGTCAGCAGCCGAGTACCTTAGCCACTAGACCCCCACGGCGGGGCGAGACAACCCTATGGAGGATGTCGGAAATTGTGCTTTTCAAATAAAAGGCTAACACAGAAAATATTCATAGTGGTACCATAAGCACAAACAGGGTATAAATAATGTTTGTGGCAAAAAATAGCAACGCAGACTCTTTTTAAGAATGACACTTCAAGTACTACAATCGTACAAACCTTCTCCAGCTTCCGTGAAGCAAAGGGAAACTGCAGTCTCCAAAGACGGCTTGATGAAAGAAATATACGAGAACGGGTGCAGTTCCAAAACGTCGTGCAGCTAAATAGGAGAAAGTGAAAGCAGGACACTAAACACGTGACTCATTCTCAAAACATTAGGCATGGAGCGCGCCACTAATAAATCACAGAAGCGACATCACTGATACTTACCACTTTCGTGAAGAGTACTACATACTTCTCGCAAATCATCCGAAGATTTGGGTTGATACATTTCAAAGTCTTACCTAAAATGAACAGAGAGATTAAAATACAAAACCTGCATAGTGTGTGTAACCGCTTGACATAGTACAACTTGCTACATTTAAAAAAATCAATGCTTTTAAAGTGATATATAGTACGAGTTGTGGTCCCTTTGCTTCCTCGTAGGTTTAACATTACAAATACCACAATTTCTGGAGTGTATACATTATCCCGAAAGGCTGTCATTTTTCAATAATTCTGCTTTTGCATCAAACGCACGTCTCATTGGTGAGAACACTGACATAATCATAAACCCATGAGTAGGTTGTCAGAGCAGCATGAACAAACAGCCCAGTACTTTTTTTCTGCTGATATAATGAACACCAAAGTTTAAACGTAACGGGAGCTTTTGAGTATACAGCAGACACTCGGCAAACAAAAATCTCGCTAACATCCATTGTCTTGTGGCTGTTAGCGGATTACTTGCATGTACGTTTTGGATCCTCAAGGAGTCAAAGTCAACCGATCTATGCTATTTTTGGGGCACTTCACAAATAAAAACAAAAAAAAAAAGATGCTGCTGGCAACAGCTGTTACAACAATCCTCTGACATCCGGAAATTCAAATACTAGATTCTGTCATGTACTTGTGAAGAGATGAAAAAATAAAGAACACTCACGGCATTCAAGCATAGGCTTCATCCATTGGAACACAAGCGTGAGGAACATTGTTGCCTCAGGAACACGCATTGGCTCTTTAAAACCATGCACCACCAACTTCCGAAGTACTGGCAAGGAATATCATAATAAGCGCATATGAAATACCTGTACACATTCCTAATAACAAGTGTTTAGCAGATTATATACCACAAGTGAAATTGCTAACAGGTCTGCCTGTGCCAAAATAAGTGCCAAAATGCAACAAACAATTGATAGTGAAAATGATTAGCGCAGCAAAAATATTGCCGGTCAAATATACTTTCAATAGCGAAATGCCTAAGCTTGTAAACTAGGCCTTAAACATGGCCATGTGTCAGCCCCGCAGACTTTAAGCGGATAAATATTTAACAGACACAACACCGGAGAAATGGCCAGAGTTAGCAATAAGTTTTATAAAAATATCTTTTCCTTAGCATGAACCTTTTTACGAGCACATAATAATGATTAAACCCTTTTGAACAAACCAGAGATAGCAAACAAATGCCGTATGGATTATAAATATACAAATATTTCTTGGTAGTTTTTTTTTTTTTTTGCAGATATTGCCTGCCATAAGAATTTATTAGAATGAACTTGCCTGAGACACAAGCTCGTGACGTGCAGGTACTGCATTTGACAGCTTCAAAAAATGCAATGAGTCGGTATTTTTTTGGTGTCCTATAAGTTTCAGTTGAATTACAAGATCAAAGGTTCTAATGAAGAAACTGACATTCTCGTGAACTTGGTGAGAACTCTTTAAATAATGCAATGTGCTTAGGTATGTGAATCTTAAATATTAAAGAGAGTTAGCACGTATGCACATGTCAGCCCTTAAGCTGTCTTAGAGTACATAACATAACCACATAAAGGATAACAATGCAAGAAAAGCAGAAATAGTACGACCAGTAGACATTACCTTTGAGGCAGAGATATGACTTCTCAAGCGTAATGCCCACGTTGTTCTGGTTGTTGGCCATTTGGTTAAGAAAGGCTTCTGTTTGGTTTGTCCACAGTTGCAATATAAATCCAAAAATATTGCTGGCAAGCTGAAAAACCAATCGATTAGTATTTCCATGATGAACATCCAGAAAAGAAAGACAGGAAGGCTAAGGGATGAAGCTCGTAATTAAAAATTTGTAAAAAGAGGGTGTGTGTGCTGAAGCCGACATTTCAACAAGCACACTCGTCGTCCTCATAGCTGCAACTGGTTCTTTTAGCACCTGTGTGCATATGCTTAAAGGGACACTAAAGGTAAATGATAATTTATGCCGTAATGGAAGCTCAATGTATGACAACTTCTAAAACAGCAATAACATCAACAGCAAGTGCCTTACTTACCATGAAACTAGGTTAATTGTTCGCACGATGTGCGCCATGAGTGCAACATTTCAAAATGATCCCGATGATGTGAGAGCATCCGACTACAATTAATCACTAGTAATTAAACTAGCTGTAATAAAAAAAGAACCTTTCGTGCATAAAGAGGCATAATAAAATTCTGCTTGTCTGTTTCTGTTTGATATATATATATTTTTACGTACATCATAACAGTAGTCAGTCCGCAGCCACAACGCAGCTCACCGCCAACGTCCACTTCCTCACTTTCAGTCTGAGGCACTCCTTTTGGGTTTGTGCCACTATGCCCTGTTTCAGTCAGCCGAACTCACGTAACACAACCTCCGGTGGCAAAAGCGCCGACCCGGCGAGCTTAAGGGGCCACAGCAGGAGCAGTATGGTAACGCTTGAGCCCTGATACGTGGACGATGTCCCGGGACACAGAGCAGAAGAGGTTGATTGATTATCAAGGATAATTTCATATGTAGTGTCGGGCACTCGTCTAAGCACGTGGTATAAGGCCGTGAAACTAGAGAGACGCTTCTCTGAAAGGCCTGCATGTCGCGTAGGGGACAAAAGAAGAACGAGGAAACCTGTCGAAAAGTGTTCGTCGCGATGCCGCTCGTCGTAACGATGTTTCTGCGAGTCTTGGGACGCCGTTAATCTGCTGCGGGCAAGCCGACGAGCACGGTCAGCTCGGGCAATAGCGTCACGTGCATATTCAGAGGTAGACTGCGCAACGGCTGGCAGGAAGGTATCCAACGGCAATGTTGGTTCGCGTCCAAACAGAAGGTGAAATGGCAAGTACCCAGCAGTGTCATGTCGGGAGGAATTGTATGCAAACGTCGCGTAGGGTAGTGAAAGGTCCCTATCACGATAGTCGGCCGAGACGTATTTTGATAGCATGTCTGTCAGGGTGCAGTTTAAACGTTCTGTAAGCCCGTTTGTCTGGGGGTGGTACAATGTCATGAGCTTATGTTGGGTAGAGCAGGAACGCACTTTAGAAAGGTACGTACGGCCTCGGTCTGTCAGCAGTTGACGAAGACTCCATGCACTAAAATGAGATCGCGTAGTAGAAGATCAGCGACAGTCTGTAGCGCAGCTTGTTGGCATGGCTCGCGTAACTGCATAGCGGGTCCCGTAGTCTGTAGCAACCGCAACCCACTTGTTTCCGGAGACGGATGTTGAGAAGGGACCGAGAAGGTCCAAACCAACACGGAAGAATGGCTCCAATGAGATGTCGATGGGCTGAAGATACCCGGAAGCGAGTCCTGACGGCTTCTTGCGGCACTGGCAAATTTCGCAAGCATTGACATAATGACATACAGAGCGTCAGAGCGTGAAAGGCCAGGCCAGTAGAAGCGGCGGCGCACACGGTCATGTGCGAGAGACACCAAGGTGACCTGCGGTTGGGGCGTCATGGAGCTCGCGTAGGACTGTGGAGTGCAGGTGCTTTGGTATCACCAGACGTAGGTCATGACCATTGGGCGATAAACTACGTCGGTGTAAGGTGTGGTCCTTTAAGGTAAACATGCGAACAGAAGCGTCTTACGGTGAAAATTCGAGCTGTTGTATTAGGCGGCGGATATCCGGATCACGATGCTGCTCATCCCCGAGATGAAGCAGCTGGTAGATGGAAAGGACGCAACCCACAAAGTCAGTGCTCGTAGGATCGCAGTCGCCCACTGGGTAGTGTGACAGACAATCCACATCTTTGTGCAGGTTTCCTGATTTATACACTACACAGTAAGAATACTCTTGGAGGCGGAGTGCCAAGCGGGCGAGACGACCTGTGGGATCTTTAAGGGAGGTGAACCAGCAAAGAGTGTGGTGGTCGGTGAGAACTATCTGTATAAGTAAGGGCGAAATTTCGCGACTGCCCACACCAGCGCAAGGCATTTGCGCTCTGTGATGGAATAGCTACGCTCCGAGGGGGACAGCAGCCTGCTGGCATAAGCTATCACGCGATGCTGCCCACATTGTCGCTGAGCCAACACAGCGCCTATTCCGTAACCACTTTCATCTGTGCGGACTTCAGTCGGTGCCGTAGGGCCGAAGTGAGCCAGAACAGGAAAGGAAGTGAGCAAAGTAGTGAGGTCGGAGAATGCTGCTGCTTGCGAGAGACCCCATGTAAACGTCTCATCTGGTTTGAGTAAATATGTTAGGGGCCGAGCAATTTCCGCGAAGTTCTTGATGAACCGTCAAAAGTAGGAGCGGAGTCCCACAAAGCTGCGGACATTTTTGGCGGTTTTTGGCACAGGAAAGTCCTTCACAGCTCAAACTCCAAGTATTGTAATGTGGCGGTGATCAAACCGGCAATTGGATGAATTCAGCTGAAGGCCGGCGAGACAGAATACATCAAGAATTTTGAACATCACGTCATCCAGATAACGAAGACACGTAGACCACTTGAATTCATGAAGCAGGGAGTCCATCATTCGTTCAAAGGAGGCGGGGGCATTACATAAGCCGAAAGGCATGACCTTGAATTGGTAGAAACCATCAGGTATAACAAAAGCCGTCTTCTCTCGGTCCATGGGGTCCACGGCAGTCCGCCAATAACCAGAACGAAGATCGATCGAAGAAAAGTAGGCGGCACCATGGAGGCAATCAAGGGCGTCGTCAATTCGTGGCAGAGGGTATACGTCTTTCTTGGTGATGTTGTTAAGGTGGCTATAGTCCGCACAAAATCGCCTCGATCCATCCTTCTTTTTAACTAATACCACTGGGGATGCCCATGAGCTGGAGGATGGTTCAATAATGTCCTTCGCTAGTATCTTTTTCACCTTCTTCTGAATGATGCTCCGCTCAAAAGCAGACACTTTGTAGGGACAGCGGTGAACAAGAACTAACAACGTCCACTTCTTTACTTTGAGTCTGAGGAACCCTTTCTGGGTATGTCCCACTATGCCCTGTTTCAGTCAGCCGAAATCACGTAATAATATATAAAAAAATCGCCTAGCGTTACAATGGGGAATGGCACAAGTGGTTAAAATATTTCATTTTCGACTGGTTAGGCTGGATAGACGGTACTTTCTAGCAGGGCCTAGTAGAACCAAGCAAGCAGAACCATGGCCTTCGAGATTGCAGAAAATTTTTCAATGGCCATTGTTTCTACTGTGGCTCTCGCTACTTTCGTTTTGCTGCTATTGGTTGGTGGCCACGCAGTAAAGGGGGAAAATGTTGGGCACAGCCACAGTGACGTCAGTAAGACCACTTTCAGGTGGATGATTTGAAGTGTGCCAGCGCGAGGTGAACCATTAAAACGCGATTTTATTTCGAAACAAGCATTTCCTTGGAACCGAACCAGTAAGCACTATGAAGTTTCCAAAATCAACAAATTTCAAAAATCAACATCGACTTCATATTTGGATTTAGTGTCCCTTTGATACCCTCTCCTCCAATCTAAACAAAGGTGTAGCACCACTTCAAAATGGTAGACTGGAAATTTCAAGAAGGGCTTTATTCTCATTGTTTTTCACTGTGTGTGCATAATATCGTATGGATCCAAGAGCCCCCTTTGAAATGTTTATACCCTCTGGCTGGAGTGTGTTAAATTAGCCAAGAACGTAAGATCTCATATTTTTCATCTGTTTGATTGAAGTATGTGAAGCTTGACATCGTCGAATTTAGGCCTGCCACAACGTAATCCTGAAACAATGCATGCCGTAAGTTCTTCGTGGTGTCCGCGCTATGCCGGTTTAATCTAACATTAACAGGAAGTCCTGTTTTGCCAATGTACCGTGGATGACAATATGAACATTCGATCATGTACATAATGTTTAAACTAATGCAGGTAAAACTTAATTTTATATGATGGACATAATCACTCCTGGTGCTTTGAACTAAGATCTCATCTTGAAGGTGTTTGCTAGTCTTACATCTTTGACAAGGACAAGACAATTATGTGGGCAGTAGATATAAGCTTTACTTATGAGTGCCCTGACAAGTGCTTGAAATTCCTATTATGATAATACATTTCTTGTGGTACTTCAGGAAATGCTTTTATGAGGGACTTGTTGCTTGCTGATATTATACAATACTTGCTGAGGATATTATTTAAGTTTGGGAGCTAAGTGGTGTTAAGGGTGTCTCTTGACCGCCGCCGTCAGCAGGTTGTGCTCGTAACTTGCATCAGGACCGACGAGAAGGGGATTACCGGCGAGACGGCGCAGAACAGCAAATCAAAAGAGTTTAATACTACATAGTTAGCCCAAAGTGGACATTCAAGTTTACAAACAAAGGTAAGAAGCCGAGGAGCAGAGTTCCGGCAGAGTCTCAATCCAGACTGCTTCACCCAGTCTCTCCCTGCGCGTTTTTAAAGGGTTCCAGACGCTTGTGTGACGTCAGGCGCCTCCAGACATGACCAAATATGGATCACCTTGTGTTCGCACCACCTACCACGCCACTGGTCACGCCACCGATCACGCGATTGATCGCGCCACAGATCACACCACCGGCGTTCCCACACTCAAGAGCCAGGTGCGAATGAGCCATGAGCTCACCGCGTTCTCGCGCACAGCACATGACGGCCTTCGCGGCAGCAGCGTCTCAGGTTCCTCGGCGTCTGGGCATACACTTCTGCGCCTCTACCCCCGATACGTTTACAGGCCCGGGAGCGTTCGCACGCTGTCCGTGGTCTTGCATTTGTGCCCAAAGGGGTTCGCGTAAAATGAAGCGTAACAGTGGATAACTCGATTACAAATTCTAGCAGCTGGTTGGGTTGTGCTATGGGGGCTCTTTTAGCTAGCGTTGATTTCCTGTCTAAGTTGCATGGTTAACTGTAGAGCTTCTTTAGGGCGTCATACAGGTAATTTATTTAAACTAGTGTTCCTTCTAAGCTGTCTAAGTGGTGCACGTAATCGCAGCTGTCACTACAGATTTTTCTTGTGCACTTCGCTTGTCCGACAAATGTAACTTGTTTGCAGCTTTGTGGGTGGTGACTGGTGCAATCTAGATATTGCTGGCTGTCAGTTTTCTGTAGATCATCGTCTTTAACTTTCCTGCTTCATTAAATACCATCCTGCCTAGAAGTTAATTTCTGAAGCAGAATCGCGGGTTGGGCGAGTTGGTGGATGTTCATCGTGGAATATTTTACAGCGCAACGGGTTAGGTACGAACAGAAATGGGACCCAGCGCTGTGTCCCTTCTCTGTCTGTATCTAACCCGTTGCGCTGTAAAATATTCCACAACTAAGTTCATTTCACTGAAAAATGATGCATGGAAAATTTAATACTAGTGTGGAACTTTTTACAGTGGTATATTAATCTATTTAGTGCACTTTTGCCATGCTCTCATATAATAATACTATGTTGTCTATGCAGATGAGATAGGTGGAAGATTTTACCAAAGATTATTTTAACAGCCCTGATTCTAACTGTCCCAAAACACGTTGGCATATGTTGGCACAAAAGAGGTCCCTATATTGGTGCCAGAAGTTTGTAGGTAGTAGGACTAATCAAATTGAAAATAATCAAGCATCAGGACTAGATTGAGTAACGAGAGCTAAACTTCAGCATTATGTGTGTGCTTGCTTTATAAAAGTGACGTTGATATCACTTCAATCCCTTCAGTGATAAATATACTAATTGCATAGATACAGTTCTACTTATTAAAGAATTGTGTGTCCTGTTCAGCAGATTCAATGCTTCTTTTTGCTCATACAATTATGCACTTGCAGCAAACCACGCCTAAAGCAAATCATGTGACATCGAACACTCGGAGTGAGCAGTGCAAGTTCATTGAAACTCAGGAGAGTACAACAATGACAGCAGCATTGCCACAAACCATAAAAAAATTGTGCACCACTATAGTAGACTTTTGCTTAAAAGTATGGATATGTAGAAAGCTGGGCTTTTACAGTAAAACCATGTTAACGGAAGCATCATTAAAAGACTCCTGATAACAAACTTGCAACCCTAACATGTATGTGTTAAAGTGCCTCCCAGATGTGAGCACTTCAGAACGATTATAAATGGTGAATATTTCCTTTATTAAGATATATTAATTCGGTTTTAAAGTAAGCCTGAGTGTTCATCTGAGTTATTAGCACCTTAAAACATTGCCACCAGTATGCTGCCGATAAAGGCCCCATTGTGATGTGTGAGTGAAAAGGAGTATTATTGACATCACAGACAAGTTTGTGAGGTGCATTTATTACCACAATTGATACCTGAAGAGGCCTATTCTGTCTTATCCTCCTCCACCCACTGTCACATCACAATAATAAACAAAAAAAACTAGGCAAGAAACGCAAAGAGATACTGCACATTATTTGCTAGACGTATGTAGTACAAGTTAATTTTATATACAAGTTTTTGAGGAAAAGACTGAAATTTTTTTCCTGAGTGCACATTTTTAAGGATTTAGCAAATAATCACTAAAAAGATAGAATCAGACCTATGACTGACCATCAGTAGCTGTAGCAACACTGGACTGCTATGAGACAGTTGCATCAGGAGAGTTCTTATAAATGCAAATATTAATAAAACAGTTTAGAACAGACCTCTTGGAACACCCTTCGATCTCCAGCGAGGCGTTTTGATGCCAGAGATTTCGTGACATGATGAAGCACGAGCAAGCTCCTCTGCTGTGGAAGGTCATCCGGATTTCGGACAACTTGTAGCAAAGTTGGCACAAGCTCGGGCCACTCAGATGGGCAGTCAAAACGAGCGACTTTGGAAACCAACACGGCAAGTTGTAAGGCAAGCTGCAAGAAAGACACATTACCACCATGTACACTCAAACCTCAATATAATAAACACAAATACAATGAAATATTGGTTATAACGAAGTAAATGAAAAAGTAGTCTTGCAATAGATGCAGTGTTATGAATAACTTTTATAACAAATTTTTGGACATACCGAAGATATTTTCTTGTAAGATGCTACTTTGTTATAATGAGATCTGAGTGTACAATGACGATTCAAGAAACACTAAATGTGTGACCAAATTCAGTAAATCTCTGTTGTTTCACAAGCTCTTGCTTTCATGAATAAAATTTAAAAAAACAAAACAGAGGGGAGCTGTGCCAAACAAAATCTGGAATTTATTACTGTGAAGTGAATACACTAGATGACTTTTAACTTCCTGCCCAAATTTCAGCTACAAAACAGCATTAACTAAGCCCACACCTCTGCACATTTATGATCTCCATGTTGAAACGAAAGTTTCCTTGATTCAACACATTTTCTGCTGTAGAACAGGTTGAAAGGCAGCTTCATCACAATACAATAGTATGATTCGGTGAAACTTTGAAAAATCTGAAGGGGCCACAGCTAATCGGACATTGGCAGTATTTGATTGATTGATATGTGGGGCTTAACATCCCAAAACCATCTTATGAATATGAGCAACGCCCTAATAGAGGGCTCCGTAAATTTCGACCACCTAGGGTTCTTTAATGTGCACCAAAATCTGAGCACACAAATCTACAACATTTCCGCCTCCACCGAAAATGCAGCCGCCGCAGCCGGGATTCGATCCCGCGACCAGTGGGTCAGCAGCCGAGTACCTTAGCCACTAGACTACGGCGGGGAGGCCATTGGCAGTACTTGTCTTCAGAAAGTTTCAATATCAAAATTCCAGGGCGAATTTAATTGAATAGCAAACACAATTAGAAAAATATTCTAAACTTCAAATATTCCCTCCTTCCTACCAGTCCCTATACACCAGCATCACTAGTTCGTGAAAGCACTGCCTCGTGACAAGGACAATATACGTGCCACGCTCAAAAAGTGCTGCAAGATTTGGTTCAGGAGAGTTGCAGCAGATGTACTATTGGATGATCTAAAATTTCAAAATGTAAAAGGCATCAACACACAAGTGAATAGTTCATTGACAAGCCTGCCTTTTCTCAGAAAAAACTTGTGACTTGCCTGGTTGACTGGCTCATGAAAATTTGATATCATCTTCTGCCTCAGGACTTTTTTCTCATCTTCTGATATTGCACTGTAAAGAAAAAGGAGGGGTATCAGAAAAATATCATCATGACAATGCAGTAGCGGCATTGTGCCACAGGATATTTGGCTGAGCACTGAGAATGTAGATTCCAAGTCGATACCTTCCATTATTTTAGCCAGGATGTCTGAATAGTAAAAGGGTACTGACACAAAACTTCACGGCCGAGATAGCCTGCGTAATCGAATCCCGTGAACATGCATATGTCATATGCAAGATATCAACAGTGAATATAGCTTGGAAGGTATTTTACAGCAATTTCAAAGTTTGAATATAGAAGGTATTGACACCATCTAAAAGGACTCTTTGGGGACCCCGTTACTTCTCTTACAACACCACGCTTCAGTCAATAAAACAAGTTGTGATGACGTCTTAAACGCCATTTTTATTTTGCCGCATTTGTTGCAGCAGTTTATACCTCTCGGCGGCTGGTCGCCAGTGCGTGGCTACGGCGCATGCGTTCAAAGTTTTGTGTTTGGTGACACTGGAGTCCCGTTTTCTATTTGAAAGCTTCACAGTTCTGTGTGCTGACATGGTTGAGAGCTGCACATGCCAGGGGCGATTGTTGTACCCAGTGGTTTGTCATTTTTGGAGCTCTCTCAAACCAAGACTGAAACTATTTGATAATGACGGGCCTGTAATTAAACATTTGTCACATGCTATAGCAATCGATGTGCCATGTTACGACCAACAAGCTCAAGCAACACATTGCAGCAAAAAAAAAAATGCAAAGCCAGAGTTTTTGTGTCAGAACTTTCTTGCGATGCAAATAAACATGATTACATTGCTTATTTTATTTACCTGCCTAGTGAGTACTGATATTTTTTAAAATATTGGTGCATATGCAGACAAGTATAATCATTCTTGCTTGTGCTTGTTACAAATATGAGTAACAATTCCAGATCATGGCATCCTAGAAGTGTACCCACTGGCACATTTAGCGTTGGTGTTGAATTGGTATTTTTAGCCTGCTCATTGTAAACAAAATGAAAACAAAGCAGAACGGTGCAACAAAACCACGACATGCACCTTCCTTTTTATTTTAAAAAAAGCTTGCCAAATACTGCTACTCCTTAAATGGTGATAAATGAACTAGCATAAAACCAATGTGTGAATATATTTTCATTATGAATGATTATAAAAACAATTAACACAAAGTACTTACTTAGTAGCCGTTTTCCTCCAGTATCGTTCAATCCCATTCTTTATGTACAGGACTGCCAACCACCGTACATTAACTTCTACACTGTGGTCTGAAAATATGGACTGAAGGGAGAAATAATAAACAGAATATTCAAAAAATAATAATTTTAAAAAGTATACAATGTAGTATTGAATGCACGAAAACACAACTAACAGTAGCTCAATTATACTACCCCAGTCATATGATCATAACACTGTGTAGGTAACTGCACAAGTGAGAAACAATGGCTTATGGGTGATGACATACCAGCACATAATGGTTTCTCATGTGTGATGGATGGTCTAAAAAAAATCCCCGTTATGTCCACGAAGTGAATGCTGGAGCGGAGCTAAGTCCTAACGTTCATAATGCCTACGTTGAAGTCGCCGACTAGTAGAAAAGATGGACGGACGGATGCACGAACAGACGGACGGACGGTCTATTTTTAAACCATTATGTGCTCTCTGTACACGGTTTTGCGCACAGATGTTTTGCACCTGCGCTTCGGCTGTGCACGGCGCACGGACGGACTGAAGTAGGGTGGACATTGCGAGGTCTTAGGGAGCTTCGCTCCTAAAAGGCGTGCACGTACATACGGCTGCATCACGGCGTGATAACAGTAACGTATTGTGCTGTTGCCGCAAGTTAGGTTGTCAGCAACGATGTTCAGCCATTTCTCGGTGCAGAAATTGTAATCTGATAATCTTTTATAGAAGTACGTACTCTAAATTCGTTCGAGTTCAGCCTAATCCAACTTTAAAAGTGGTTTGAAACGAAACAAAATGTCATGAAATATTCTCAATGCTGGCATATCAGAGGACAAACCTTCTTGAATGCATCGCACGACCCATGAAGCATTCAAAAGTGGTGAACCTTTACTCGGAATATTTTATACAGATATAAAGATCATAAACAAAATTCACAGTGGAATTATTTCGTCAAGATTACGATGTTGTAGACATAGCTTGCCTTATCTACAATCACTTGTCAGTAGCGAGACCGAGCGCTGAGAACACAAGCGCGTTTTCTGGCTATGAACCGGTAAGAAAACGCACAACATTATGAAAATATCAAAAATATTTGTTTCGATCGTCCACCAGACCTCCTATTTTACGTGACAATTTGACAAGAATGAAAGCAGCAGTGCAACTGATCATCGATAGCCCTCTATTTGGTAAACCACGACAGCAGCACAGTGCTCCCGCACTTGAACTTGCGGCTTTAACCACCAGTTTCCAGTGCCATTGCATCATTAATAGGTGTAAGTTTAATCCTTCTACGGGAACTCTTTGAGGACACACTGTTCAGACAAGCTTACTAAACACAACAACGGCTTACCAACAAAGCCGAGTAAAACCACTTTTCGGTTTCCCAACACTTGAGCTGCTGCTCGGCAGGCTTTAGCTGTTCTGCGTTCTGACTGGCCGCTTTGCGAAGTGTCTCTAGAACAACGGCACAGTTCTCTTGATTCATCTTGCCGCTGTCATTCGGCAATTTCGTCCACTATTTACAAGAGGTCCGCATTCACGTCGCTCGTGGAGGCCGCCATTACAACGTCGACCCGTCAAAACGAGATGCGGTAACGGGAGGAAGCGAAATTTTATGAAGTTTCCGCTTCCGTTTTCAGTAATGGCGACGGCCACGGCGTCTGCCTGTTACTGAAGGTTTGTAAGAAAGTTTCGGGCATGGCATTAATGTTTTCGCCTCTGCAATTGACTTCCATTTAGACCTGTTGCCGAATGAAATCCAGGAGCACATCCAGGCAAGTGTTCTGTCATAACGAAACAGCGCAGGACTTGCTGTTGACGACGTTGTCGTCACGGAAACGATATCCATCTGTCGAGTGCCTTTTCGAGTAGCCGGCTTTGATCAACGTAGAGCAGCTGCTGTAAGGCCGTTATGATACTCTGTCCCGTGCTTTGCATTCTTGCCTCGTAGCTACTGAATTTATTTTTAATAATACATGCGATTATCGCTTTGATCGAGCTCAATGAGCGTACTCCGTCAATGTACGACGTGTTGGGTGGGCTTGTCACATGCATCGATGCTTCGCTAAACGCCTTCTACGAGCGCGAAATGGAAGGAGGAGTCATCACGCTCGCTTATGTACAGGTGCCATGTGCCCGGCTCTATAGATTGACCATGGACAGACTACCGACCCACTACGGCCGTCAGGGACAGCCACGATCCCAAGTCATATATCATTCGCCGAGGTAAGCGTAACATTTTGTCTCGCTGCTGCCCGTGCGTTTCAGTTTTGACCAAGATTAATCGCACGCAGGTTCAAAGGATACGTGGCCAGCCTTGTACTCTCCAAATGCATCTTGGCATACGCATACTTCCTCTCGTACAATATCTTAAATTATCTTCACGTTGTACAGTTCCTCTTCATCGCGCGGCTTGTGTAAGTACAACCTTTTATGACGTTGATTGGTTCACGTTCGTTCGGAACGATTCATCCTCATTTGTATGCATGATGACCATTGTTAGGTTTCTCTTAAGAGTGATAAGCTGTCTTGTTTTCGCTTGCTTAGAAATAAAGCAATGGATATCATACCTGTAAGCATATCGCACCTATTTGCAGTAGATGAAAACTTCAGGCAAGAAAAACTGTTCAGCTTTCATCAAGTACGTTTCTTCAGATAAGTATGGTTGCAGGGAACCAGCGTGGGGCTTTCCAGTTTTGGTTATGTTCTTACCCCATAAATTACTTTATGCTAATGAATGCCTAGAGCCATTTCACACCAGCAATCAACAGACGCCACACTACCAACTCTTATGACAACTAAGGAGTGACAAAAGGTGACCAATGTTTACTGGCAAGTGCTGTCAGTGTAAATCAAAACGCTGGCTTTTTGACCATTTTGCAAATTATCATAAATTGACTAATTTTATTGCACGACCTCTGTGAATGGACCCTTAGGCACTCAAATGAATGTCATAAAAATTGCAGCATACTCTGCTTTAATAGAAATAGCAGGAATCTAGCATTTCTTATTTTCTTTCACGTAACTGAGCATCATTTTTTTAAGCACACAATATTGCCATAATGTAACACAATATTCTCTTAACCTTATCTAGAATTTCAGAAAACCATGAATGAAGAATGTTAACTGCAAGGTTGGCAATGACTTTTAATCAAATTAGTTACTGCTGCTTCTTCATTAAAATAAATTATATTTCGAATATAAATTTATGCAGCATTTCTTTAAAATCAGCCCAACGTGAACGTCCCAGACGTCATCAGAAATATATAACTGCTTCTTTTAATAATCTTTGCTGGAATTTGCATTGCACTTTAATCTGCTTAATATGAACTGAATCTGAATCTTGCTTGCTTCTCTATTACAGCGCTTCAACTACACTTGTAATTATACAAAAGCCCTTCTCAAGCGGGTCGAAGCTAACCCGCTCTCAAGTAAGTGCACATCCCTAGGGGCAAATATTAGGGTCTCATTTTGGCACCTGTCATTAAAACAAATTAATAGTTTTGATAGCAGTTGCGGGAGCAAACCAAGCAAAAATTTGCTGTTGGCTGTCGTCGCCATAAAGTTGAAGTGTGGTAAGATTTTTTCGCACCTACCATGCAGTACGGTGTGGAATCAAGGAAAGGCATGCAAGACACACTGCATGGATAAGGAGAGAAAGTGAGCAGCACTTGAGTAGTGGAAGGGTTTAAGTGCACAAGTGAGAGGGGTAGAGGTGATTGGCTGCTACCTGCTAGGGCAAGCACTCCACAATGACTAATCAGTGAGGAAGGGAGAACTGAGCGACATGTTTTTAGCAAAACATAAGTAGTCAACACACAAGGGAACCAAGGAAAACAGAGAATTGATTAAGTGCTTTTAATTTATTAGTGCAGAAAAAAGTTCTAAACACTATGGCAGCCTCGTAATAGGTGGTGCCAAACCTGAAGGAATACCACAGCTGAGTGGCCTACCCTGTTTCTCTTAATTTTTCTTTCTTTGTTCTCTTTCTTCCTTTGTGGACATGCATTTCTTTTTTCCTCTCCTTATCTATCTATTTCTCACTCCTATCATTATTCCTACTTCTTTCCTTCCTTTCTCTGTCTCTCTGCTTCTTTTCTCTCTATTTTTGTTTTTCTGTCTTGCTCTTTGTTTTTCTTTCTCGTGTCTGTTTTTTTGTATCTTTCTTTCTCTGTGTTTTCCATCTTCCTTTCTTGCTCTCATTCCTTGTTTTGCTTTATTGCTCTCTATCACTGTTTTTCTATTTCTTTTTTGTTTCGGTTCATTTCTATCTTTTTATGTCTTTTTTCTTTTATTTGTCTATTTTTGCCCCAATCTTTTTTCATTGGTTTTTTCCCTTTCTTTCTCCAGCTCCCTTTCACGTGTTCTTTTTAATTTGATGCTTGCACCTCTTCTACGCAGTAGTGGGGCTTGCCCACTGAGTAAATATGTTGTTCTACTGAGTGGACACATCTTGAGTGTGACTAGCTTTCTTGCATCCTTTCACTAATGCTTGCGTATTGTTTTTTTGTTGGCTGCAGTGGCTGCGAGTCTTTCGCCATGCTGTGATCAATTCTTCACTTGCACTTCTAGAGCTTTTTGGCCTTACGCTGTGTGGGCCTTTACGGACAATTCTGCTCACCCAGCACAAAGACCTTGTTGTCATAGTTGGCATCAAGGCTCTCTTCACAAGTGCTGGTGGCCACTCCAAGGTGAGTCAGCTTGTGGAGACGGGAAAGTTTGGTGGAAGAGAGCTCAAAGGAGGAAGAGTAGATAGTATTTGCAGTGAGCTTTTGTCCCACAAAACTGGATAGTTAGTAAACTAACATTTTGAAATGGTATTCAAGATGTAGGCATGACGAATTCTATCATGCTGAAGAGCAAAAAGCTTGTTGGCATTTGCTGATCATTTTCCCAGAATGGCTTGGCAGAGAAACTGTTCTGATCATGTGGCAGCATTTTGTTAGGGATGTGCAAATAGAAACATTTTTTTTTAGATTTGGATACGCTTTTTATGCAACTCTTATTTGGCTCTGAATTTTACATATATGATTTTATGGCCGAATTTAATGTACATTTACAACAAAATGAAGCCCACAAAGCACACCTACTCTGCAAGATTTAGCGCATTGAAGTTATGCAACACTTCCGCAGAATAGCCAAGATTGACTGATGTGCAGACAAAGAACGAAGCTCACAGTAGTTACACATGTGAAGGCACTTCACAAAGTGGGAATATCCTAACCTGTCATTCCCTTATTTTAACTTTATGAGAACCAAATGCCTAAGCTATATGTAGGCTTATGCGACCGCAATGAGATGTGCATTGAATATGGGCTAGGTGTATTTTAACTCTCCACAATGCTCTTGCCCATTGTATGATAAAAGAATTTCATTGAATGAGATTGTGTGTGTGATATGAATAGTGGTGTACAGTCCGGAACCTATCTTTGTGCTGGCATGTACGATGAGTCATGTATAAATAACTCGCACATTCGACCTGTGGATTCAATTTCGACAAATGATGGCTGGGCTCATTGCAATTGTTTTGATTCTAGTGTCTGGTGTTTTGCAGGTTGTAAGTCCGTGCAATGAAGGGCTAAATTTGTGGCTCAGCTTCTGGCAAAACCTTTGCTCATCATCTGTTAGTATAAACCTACTGTCTGTGAACATGTCCAAACATTTTCATACATCTAGTAAATACTACCGTTACTCAATCACTATAGCCAGAAATGAGCCTAAAAAGTGGTACATGTAAACTTTGTAACCTACAGTGTTTGACTTCTTAATACGTAGGAGCTCAAATGGACTTGCTACTTGTTCGCATTTTGTTAAAGGATTCACGCTGCAGCTGCATCTTGCATTGCTTTTTGTTTCTGTTTTACAGTTTAGAGGTGCAATATGTTTTATATTGGCGGTGTTATCACTGCTGTTTCTCGACTTTGATGACAAGGGAGCTCTGCCCACAGAGCACCGTATCCTTACTGTTTTATGCATGATATTTTGGAAAGCCTGTAAAGTCAATGCGAGCAGCAGCCTACAAAAGGCAAGCAAATAGTGCTCAATGTTGAATCGGTGTAGTTGATTTGGTCGTCGGCTTGCTGGAACTAGCACATTATGAAGAAATTACTGACACGTGTTTTTTGACCAACCACCACAAATGATCCTTATGGTCTGTGGAATCTGCCCTGTGTAATGGTTCAGTACTTGCATGAGTGACATGATGCATTAAAAAAAAATCCGTAAACTGGGCGAGGGTGTGTTCGAGCTGGCGTTTCGGCAAGTCCACTTGTCGAAACATCAGCTCGAGCACACACCAACGTTTATGGATCTTGTCATTGCAAGCTTCCATCTTCCCCTGTGTGTCGTTTTTTGGACGACACATTTCATTTAGTCTAAAGCTTCTAATCATGTCAGCCTTGCAGGATTGTGCTGTCACTGAATGTTTTATGTGCATACACTCAAACCTGCATATATCAGACCAACATATGCTGAATTATTGTTTATGTTGAACTGTTGTGAAATTCCCTTGAATATATTTACTATATATAGAGCTTTTTATGTATAGAATTACCTCTATAGAGATCTTTATCTCTTTCAATTTTGATATACCTTGGCTTCAACTGTATGCTGTAATAGTACATACAGCTTTGTCAAATATCACTGTAACAAACCTCAATTGAATCAAATTTGAATTTTAAGGAACTGCATATTTTCATTTCCACATCTTAGCTTGATCAGAAACCATGCAATTTTTTTTTCTGCGACTTATCTCGGTAACTTGGTTCCACAGTTTCAACTTATTGAAATCCTTATGTATTCCATACACACATTCGATTCGTTCATGACGACTGAAAGCCATTTCTTGTGACTGTCCTGCATGGAAACATCGCCGACGAGTGACAAAAAAGTACTGTCAGAAAAGCATCATTGAATGCACTACCATACTATCAAGCTTAATTTTTTTATTGAGGTGGCAATTATAGGGCATTTCAGGCACATTTTTGCTATAGCTTTTGCCGTGTGGTTATGCATGGTGTCCAAAAGCTATAATATCACTGAAGTTTAACTGTGCACTTGTTGAATACGCCGGATCTCATTCGATCCGTGCACAAGCCATAGATTCTCCCGCGAGCGAAAATGTGCAAGGGCAGCCGATTATTGCCGCATTGGCAGAGGTGAAATGTGCCAGCCCTCAACAGCTGCAGTGGACGTCCATGGGGAATCCCCAACGGCAAGACGGGTGGGGGAGGGGCTGCATGGCTTGGGCAGAAAGTCTATACTTGCAGCAGCCAGGCATGGTCGTGTGCCCTCTATCTTGACAGGGATTGTCAGATGGCTTGTACATTTGCACATGCTGTATTCTTACCCCTCAGTATGTATTGAAGGAATAGACAACGCAAAGATTGCTTCGCTTGCTGCAGTGACCATGTTTCCTTATGTGAGCATTTTATTTAGTTACGCTTGCTTGAATGTGAAGGAGTTGCCTACTAGCTTTATTTTATGTAAATTCTGATTCGTTGCTAAAGCATTCATTGCTTTGGCAAAACAGACCTTTTTTTTAGTGTCATACTAGTATGGGTAATGAGTCTCATCTGCTAATCACTTTCTAGATCTTTCAAAGGTTGTTGGCATTTAAAACCTGATTCCTCAAATTTTACCACATGCGTGCATTAAGATTTTGTTCTGTCGTGAGGTAAATTTAGAAGGTACATGGGAGTTTTATTCTTTAGAGTCATTTGCCTTAACTTAATTTCTATGTATCTATATGCACCGATCATCTGAACAGCTTTGCATTGCTTTGCAATAAAAGTAAGTTCATTTCTCATAAGCTGAACCTATGTTGAGACTAATTGATTTTCAGGATTGTGTACGTCGACAATAAAGGAAGTGCGCAGCACTTGCTGACATGATTTTTCTCGGTGACGACAGTATCTTAAATGCTGCGCATAAACGCATGATTGACATTTCCAAAATGAGCAGGAACCTATCAGGGGAAAATTTGAGTGTTCGTGAAATCAGCGCCTGGCAAGAACAAAAAGAAAGGTGCAGCATTTCTGTCACACCTTGACAAAATCTCAGCTGAGGGCTACCAGCACCATGGGTTAAGCCACGCGTTTTATTATGTGGTCTCCCTTCTTGGTCTTCCAGATCACAAGGTAAGAAGCTTTGTTTGTCATTTAAAAGTAGGTTTTGACTATTTCATTTGTTATAAAGAAATATAAAAATACCTTTCATTACAGCTCTGCCAACTCCTTATGTAGCAGAACAATAAAATTACAAGGAGAGCATGGGTCGGCAAATTAAAGTTGCTCAGACTCACTCACACGCTATATTTTTTGCTAAATAAGACTCATCTTACCAAGTTCTATTTTACTTGGCTCACTTAAGCTCGTAAATACCAAAATTCTAATCAGCATAACTAGCTCAGACTTGAGTTAATCTTAATCTAAAGACGTCTACTCTAGACCATGTCTTCCAACCTGTGATAAACATAAATCACAGAAGCATACTTATCTCCAGAGATGTGTGTATATATTTTATCGTTTGGAGTTTTCTCATATATATGCAACTGCAAGCAGGAACTAGCCATATGTCTCACTTGCTCACTCTGTTAAAGCTAAAAGGCATTGCTATTCTGACCCTGCCTGCAACTCATTTACTGGACATAATAAATAGTCTCCTGCTCTACATATCACGCGTGTTCTTGCGTGTGTGGTTGTACTATAACTGTTGCATGCTTTACTTGTTCTGCTTGACCTGTCTGCAGCATTTTACACTCTTCTTTTTCATTACACTATGTTGTTTTTATGGTCATGTAACTTTTCATTTTAAAGTTGTTGTTCTGTTATCAATGAGTGCCACTTCGTAGCATCTCTTCCATGTTCAACGACTTTTGTAGGCAGAGCAGTAGTTCTTAAAAGCGATATAAACGTCCTAAGCAACATTTCGGCTTTGAAGAGCATACTAAACACTGGAAAGTCGATAGCCTAGTGGTCTTTTTAGCCATAGTACAGCTTGTGTTCAAACGAAAGCTTGTGAACAAAGCCACTTACCTCTTGCCTTTGTCTTTCAGGGTGGTGCGCTACTTCTAGCGCTGACCTTGTTGCTCCAGACAGGCTTTCGAACCCTGTCTCGCACATTGGCTGTCGATGTTGGTGGGGCCAAGCGTTTGAACGCGCTGTCAAGTGTCATATCTACTGTGCTTTTAGCACCGCTCCTGCTATTTGTTAAAGTCCCATCTTCCATGGTGAGCACTCATTTTCTGTCTGACGGCTTGGTTCCGTCCTTGTGATTCACTAATGCAGTACGATTCATTTGCGATAATGGCTTGTACAATTTCGATCAAATCACTGTTCATTTCAAGTTTGCTACGAACCTAAAATTTGCTTTTGCACATGTCTAGCAGGTTTAAATTGGGCTGTACATAGCCCGATTTTAAGTTACAAATGAATTAAGAACAGTGCAATGCTGGAAACAAATTGCACCTCAGTCGTTGAGAAGGATTGCGATTGTCTGAGATTATTCTGTTTAGATTGCATGCAGGACGCGAACAGTTTAGTTTATTCTAGAGCTTGCGGGAGCGCCAGCAATAGGACTTGAATGTTCGATGCTGTGTGAATAAATGCCAACACTGCTCACCGCAGGTCAGTATATGGATGACCGAGGCTCTCTTTCCTGCTATCAGTGTACACTGTGTTCTGCTGTAGTTCGAGTTTTCATTTCCTGGGCACAGGTTCGGCCAAATAGGGAGCTTCATCTTGAACACGCCGACTGCTTCCTTCGTTAACGTCACAAGCCCATGTCATCTGTGTGCAGGTAATATGCACACTTAGCAGGGTAATGAAGCATTTTTTAAAGGAATTATCAAACAATGTCATTATCAGTGTTGATTTCCTCTCACCGTAGATCAGTTTATCAACAGCCAAGGCTCCATTCGCTGCTATGAGTGTGCAGTGTGATAATATAGGAGAAAAAGGCTATGTCGGCATGCATCATCAACCTGGGCACTCATAATGAAACACGATCACTCTCTTCCGGTGCGATTATTACGCACGGTGGTCATGCTACTGTGGTAATTTTAACACACTATAAAACACGACACTGGCTTTTGAATTCATGCCAAAGCAAATTCGAAAATTGTTAAATTCATTTGACCAATATAGGATCTAAATTATTTGCACAAAACTATCATTCACGCTTATGTTATATATTGCCACGTGTTTATATCAAAAAGAACGATGATAGGAATGTTTTGCAGATTCCAGCTAGTGGGTCAGGTTGTTTTTAGGGACGACAATGAAGCAGGCGTCTTGCTGTACAGCTGATTCTGAATACGCTCTTTTCGCTGCCGTAAGCTGCTGTAATCTTTTGTTCGCGGTGCAATGCGACACTGGTGGAGGTGCTGGGCCGCGACGCTGCCTGATGCTTCACACTCCTAGTGGGAGCCGTTCATCTATCCTGGAGGTGCCTACTGCAACCCCTGTCCATCGATTCAGTCGTCGGCTACGAGATGTTCCTCCAGACTGCAACCCCTCGCAGAAAACCTCTACCAGACATCTAGAAATGGCTAACACCAGCCCCCAGCCTGTACTTCTCGGCACCAGTCCTCCCGCCCCATCTCAGGTAACGTTTTTTCAATCGCTGGAGCCTAAACGCTTTGGTGGTGGAGCACACGAAGGTGTAGAAGACTAATTAGATCACTATGACCATGTTGCGAAGATCAACCAGTCGTCTGCTCAGGAAAAGCTCGGCCGGGCCTACTTCTATCTTGATGACAGCGCTCGTACTTGGTACGAGAACAGAGAAGGCAACCAGTCCACATGAACCGACTTTCACCAAAAGATGGTTGAAACTTTTGCCAATGTCGACAGACAAGACCGCGTCCACCAACTACTGGAGCTAAGGGTCCAAAAACCCAATGAAACGGTCGCCATATTCGCTGAAGACATGACACGTTTATTTCGAAGGGCTGACCCGCAGATGACCGAAGATAGGAAGTTGCGCTACCTTATGCGTGGCGCGAAAGAGCAGCTGTTCGCCGGACTTCTGCGCAACCCGCAAAGCACTGTAGAGAACTTCATCAAAGAAGCGTCGGCTATCGAGCGAGCCCTTCACCAACGCTGCCGACAATATGACCGCCTGTGCAGCAGCCCCCAAATTCAGGCCGCCGCTGTGACGTTTGACAGTCATAGCTCCTTACATGACATGATTAGAAAGATTGTTCGTGAGGAACTGCAAAGGCTGCGGACTCCGGTAGTGGATACACCCAGGGCATCAGTCGCTCAAGTCGTCCGTGACGAATGCCGTCAAGCATTCTCGACAGCTGATCCTGCCGCCGAACAACGTCCCATGACGTACGCCCCCGCCCTTCGAAGCTTCCCACCCGCTCTGCCTTCATACTACCCGCCATCTGCAACTGTTCCTTGGTCACCACCACAGGGGGAGACATCGTGGCCCACACCCACAGCCCACACCGGGGAAACTGAAAGCGGCGACCTCAGGGGTAATGTTGCAGGCTGTCAAGACGAAGAAAAAAATCCCCCATTACTCCCACCTCAGGACGCTGTAAAGCCGACAAGACGCACTACCGACGAAACCGTGACCCCAGGCCTTACCGTTCTTGTGGATGGACAGCAAGTCAAAGCTTTAGTCGACACTGGGGCTGACTTCTCTATTATGAGTGATGACTTTGCCGTACGCCTCAAGAAAGTAAAGACAGCGTGGACGGGACCTCACTTAAGGATGGCAGGCAGCCAATTACTGATGCCTGTCGGAATGTGCACAGCAAGGCTCGACATCGGTGGTGCTACTTTCGTGGCGACGTTCGTCGTTCTCGCTTCATGCTGTAAAGACCTGATTGTCGGAATGGATTTCTTGAGATAACATGGCGCCGTCATCAACGTCCTTGACAGTGTCATTACGTTTCGCAACAGCCCTACTTTAGTCGATTGTTCAGAGCCGAGACATACGTCTTGTTCAGGGCCTTTGCTTCTGACGGATGACGATGTGGTCGTCCCGCCACGATCGTGTACGCTTGTTTTCGGTGGCAGGGGTGAGCCACTTGACGGCGACGGTATTGCTGACCAAATAAGCTCGCTGATATTTAGCCACGGTATTTCAGTTGCTCGAGGTCTAGTCACTGTCACTGCTGGACACACAATCTTGCTGCTCACCAACTTTAGTACTGAGCACCGACATTTCCCGAAGGGTACAGCCGTCGCTTACTTTGACACTACTGCAGAAATCCAAAGCAGTTTATCGGCCTAGACGAAGCACCTCAAGAAGAATCAGTACCTAATCTTGACGTTGGTACTACGTTGTCAAGGGACGAACGAACGAGACTTCTTGAGCTGCTAGCTGAATTCCAGGACTGCTTTTGATCGACATCACGGGTCGGTAGAACGCCGCTAACAAAGCATCGAATAATTACCCACGACGCAGCGACGCCTATACACCAGAATCCTTATCATGTGGCTCCAAAAGAACTGGAAGTGATACAGCAACAAGTCGCTAAAATGCTTGAAGATGATGTGATTCAGCCATCACAGAGCCCGTGGGTATCGCCTGTAGTACTAATTAAGAAAAAGGACGGTACCTTGCGTTTTTGCGTGGATTACAAGAAGCTGAATCAAGTGACTAAGAAAGATGTGTATCCGCTTCCACGTATTGATGACTCCTTCGATAGGCTTCGAAACGCTCGCTAATTTTCTTCAATGGGCCTCGGAAGTGGATATTGGCAGATCGAGGTAGACCCAAGAGATCGGGAAAAAATCGCTTTCTTGCCGCCGGATGGTTTATATAAATTTAAAATTCAACCCTTCGGTCTGTGCTCAGCGCCCGCTACTTTTCAAAGGCTCATGGACACTGTACTTTCAGGGTTAAAATGGAAGACTTGTTTAGTTTATCTAGACGACGTCATAGTGTTTTCCCCAACTTTTGACAGCATCTCAAAAGGCTAGAAGTTGTTTTACTAGCCATACGCTTCGCAGGTCTCACATTGAAACCAGAGAAATGTCACTTTTGTTCTGAAGAACTGCTTTTTCTTGGTCATGTCGTCAGCTGCACCGGCGTTCGGCCTGATCCCGAAAAACTTGCAGCCGTGGCACAGTTCCCAGTACCGTCCGATAAGAAAGCTGTCAGGCGCTTTCTGGGCCTATGCGCCGACTATCGCCGGTTAATTGCCGACTTCGCACGGATTGCGACGCCGTTAACTCGCCTCACTAGAGACGACGCCATCTCTGAGTGGAACCACGAACAGCAAGCAGCGTTTAATGACCTCCGCCAACGTCTTCAAACACCTCCAGTGCTTGCTCAATTCGACGAGCAAGCGCCAACAATGCTTCACACTGACGCAAGCAAAGTAGGCCTCGGAGCTGTGCTTGTGCAGTGGCAAGAGGACACGGAGCGAGTGATCGCCTACACAAGCAGGACGCTAACACGCGCTGAGGCCAATTATTCAACAACTGAGAAAGAATGCCTCGCCGTGGTCTGGGCAGTAATGAAATTTCGCCCGTATTTGTATGGCCTCCCTTTCAAAGATATAAGTGACCATCATTCACTCTGTTGGTTGACTAATTTAAGAGATCCAGCCGGCCGATTAGCGCGGTGAAGTCTGAAGTTACAAGAGTTTGATATGACGGTCATACACAAGTCTGGGAAGCGCCATACGGACGCCGACTGCCTGTCTCGATCACCAGTACAGTCAGCTTCTCTTTCTGACGACGACGATATGGCCTTCCTTGGTGTTCTCGACGCGTCCACGATCGCCCAACAACAACGAGGTGATCCTGAATCGCTTGATTTGATTAATTACGTGGACGGACGTTCTTCGAGGGCACCTAGAGTCTTGGCAAGGACGTTATCGTCGTTTTGCTTACGCAATGGCGTCCTCTACAAAAGAAACTTTTAATCCATCGGAGCTCCCTATTTGCTCGTTATTCCTGTACCCCTTCGAACTGAAGTGCTCCAAGCATGTCACAACGAGCGGACGTCTGGCCATTTAGGCTACACTTGCACATTGGCAAGAGTACAGCAGGGATACTACTGGCCACGACTCACAACAGCCGTCAAGCACCACATTCACACTTGCCTCGATTGCCAGCGACGCAAGTCACCTCCAAAGAGACCCGCCGGTCAGCTGCAACCAGTTCAGGTTCCACGTACACCGTTTGACCAGATAGGAATGGATATTTTGGGACCTCTTCCTACTTCTACTGCAGGGAATCGCTGGGTTATAGTCGCAACAGACTACCTAACCAGGTATGCCGAAATATAAGCTATCCAAAAGAGCACCGCAGTGGAAGTGGCGATATTTTTCATAGAAAATATTGTGCTACGCCACGGTGCCCCTACTATATTGATCACAGACCGCGGAAGAGCATTTACGGCAGCTCTTTTAGACCGCGTCCTGATGCTTAGTGGAACGACTCACCGTAAGACCACTGCGTACCACCCACAAACGAATGGACTAACGGAGCGCCTCAACAAGACGATTGAAGACATGCTGTCGATGTACGTAGATGTCCAACATAAGAATTGGGACGAAATTTTACCCTATATCACGTTCGCATACAATACGGCTAAACAAGAAACGGCTCGCATGACTCCATTCAGCTTGGTTCACGGTCGGGAGGTACGGACTATGCTGGATGCGATGTTGCCACATGAATGGGACGCTACCGACACAGGCGCTGACGTGTTCACTGAACGCGCGGAAAAAGCTAGGCAGCTCGCCCGCTTACGGATTCACCAGCGACAAGACTACGACACAGGCCGCTACAATGCTCGCCATAGAACTGTAACATACAAAATCGGTGACAGAGTGTGGGTTCGGACACCCGTACGAAAACGTGGACTGTCTGAGAAGCTGCTAAGGCGATATTTCGGACCATACCGAGTATCGCGCCAACTAAGTGATGTCACCTACGAGGTCATCTCCGACAGTCCCCATTGCCCGAGGCGTCGCCAGCACCAGCCTGAACTTGTTCATGTAGTGCGTATGAAGCCGTATGTGAGTGACTGACTGCGCGTTAAACAAAATACTGTGGGTCTGAATCAGCATCGGGACGATGCTATTATAAGGAGGGGCAAGTGATACGTGTTTATATGAAAAAGGACGATGATAGGAATGTTTTGTAGATTCCAGCTAGTGGGTCAGGTGGTTTTTCGGGACGACAATGAAGCAGGCGTCTTGCTGTGATGAGCTATGATATGAGGAGAAGAAGAAGGAGAAGAACAAGCTGCCCGTTTATTTGGTTGGAAGCTGCTCGTTCCAGGGCTGGCCGTTGAAGCTTGCTCTCGGGGTGCGACCAAAAATTAAGTAGCTGTGGTTGGTTAATTGATCTATCATCGTTTCTTATACTGCAATAGTTGTTTGATCAGTGTTTTTGTGCAGTTCAGACAAGACAAGATGCCCTTATCTTCGCCAGGGCCAGGGACTTTTCTTTGGTCGGCTTCTACGGATCCAAAGGAGGTGCCAGTGGATCTTTTCTTGCGCAACGGAATATCATCGGTTCCAGTGGCTCTAGTCCCGAACAATGACGGCATCATTCGGATGAAAAACCCGAAGATCATTCAGGAGGAATTACGGTCAGTGACGGCCCAATACCAGTCCATAACGGAGGTCCGCCAGTTCGGCAGAGGAGGCATACTGTGCTTTTCGCCAGACCAGTCCTGTGTCCTAGATTTGCTAAAGTGCTCAACGTTTGCATCCCAGCTGGTGAGCGCGTTCATACCTTCTCATTTAGCATGTAGCCGAGGTATAGTGCGTGGCGTCGATGCCAACATGCCACCCTCCGAAGTACTAGAGCTGTTTTCGCCAGCAGGTGCTATTTCAGTCTATCGGTGTGGACGGGTGGTTGATAACAACAAAATACCAACTGAGTCTGTAATTGTGACCTTTGCGGGATCAGTCCGACCATCAGAAATTAAGGCTTGGCCTTTAATTTACAGAGTAGAGCCGCTCTCTCCTCGTCCGCTCCAATGCATAAAGTGCTGGCGTTATGGTCACACAATGAAAGGTTGTAGGTCAGCGGTCAGGTGTAAGGTTTGCGGGAAAAGTCACAATTCTAGCGACTGTCTGAGTGATAAAGAAAAGTGTTGCCTATGTAGCGAAGCTCATGCGGCCGATAGCTCTAGTTGTTCAGCAAAGGTACGTGAACTGCAAATTCTAGAGATAGTAGAGCGAAGACGGTGTTCACGGAAGGAAGCAGCACTTGAAATACAAGCACGAACACAAGGCTACGCCGGTGTTACAGCTCGTAATATGCCAAAAATGGAAGCTCTCTCTGTCCCTATTGCGGAAGCGATTGAGAAGGCAGTGGAGAAGGCAATAAAGCGCATCGCTGGGAATCTTTGTGAGTCCTTGGCCCAGATTCTATCGACCCAGATGGCTCAAATGTAGGGTACAGCGGAAAACAACCTCAGTGCACCACGTAACATTAGTGACTCCTCGGAGTTTGCAAAGGAGTATGACTCTGCTACGCCACATCAGGCTACGGAAGCCCTTCACATTCGTGACTCCCCTGAAATTTCAAAGAAGTATGGCTCCGATACGCCACAGCAACCTATGGTAGCTGCAGATTCAGTAGAGGAAGGTAGCGTATCTCAATGCGAGCTTACCAGGAAAGTGGAGGACTCAGACGAAATGGAGATGGATCCCTGATTGCTAAAGCGCTCGAGATCCCCTTTATATAAAAAAGGCATCGCACCTGTCAATTCAATAACCAAAAAGTACCAGAAGAACACCCTGTCTAAAGCTGATTTCCTTAAAGAAAATATTCTAAACAAGGCCATCGCTGAGGCTATTTTAGAGCAAAAATAGGGTCACTTAAAATCCTTCATTGGAATTGCCGATCGATTCACTCTGCAGCAACTGATCTAATATATTTGGCATCAAAATTTTTTCAAGATATTATTGCACTGCAAGAAACTTGGCTTTCAATGCATCAGTCTTTTCAATTAAATAGATTCAGATCTTTCCGTCTAGACCGTCCATCGAAAGGTGGAGGTTTGGCATTTTTATTAATAATAGAATAAGTCTCAAAGCAAAAATTTTGTATAAGCTCATGTCACCTGACAGTGAAAGTTTCGCCTTAGAAATAACCTTATCAGGCTGCATGCCTTTTTTGGTGGTGAATGCATACTTTCCTAAAGGTGTAATAGATACTCGATGTTTAGACGCTGCAGTGACTTCTAGTTATCAAAATAAAATTCTAATCGGCGATTTCAATTCTCATCATACGTGCTGGGGTTTCCGAACTGATCAATGCGGTAAGAGATTGTGGGAGTGGACAGCGGATAATAACTTGTGTTGCCTGAATTCAAGAACACCCACATATATTAGTGATAGGTCTCGTTCAGCCTTAGACTTAAGCTTTGTGAGTTCATCACTCACTAGTTTGTCGTGGAGTGCGTGGGATTGTGCAACTAACAGCGATCATTTGCCAATATTATTCGAGATTACTTGCCAAGTTATAATGTCAGGCTCTCAGACTCGAGTGTTTATTAATTACACCAAATTTAGGAAAGATTTAGAATCTGCTTTGGCAACTCATTTTGAAGAGCAAGAAGATACAAAAGCCTTGAGACTAAGTGCACTGATCAAAAGAACATATAAAAATGCAGAATTCGTTGTGGAATCCGCAAAGAGCACAACCCACAGTCCGTGGTGGAACTCGGACTGTGCCCGGGATTTCCGACGAAGAAAGGCAGCTTGGAAAAAAACTTATGTATAACCAGTGCCCTCAAAACTGGTCTGATTACAAATACCACGCTGCAATTTTTAAACGCACAGTCTTTTTAGCTAAGGAACAATATGATAGAAAACATTATGATCACCTTTCAAAAGCTCGTAACAAAAAGACGCTGTTCAGGTTCATGAGATCACGTAAAATGATGCCATCTCAAAATAATATAGGGTTTGAGATTATGTCCTTGGAAGAAACAAAGAAATCCTTAGAAACCATGGCTAAAGGCCTGTAGTGTAGATTTACATCAACTGAGCCTTACGATTCACAAAAACCAGCGTCAACGATTGAAGTTACTGAAGTTACAGAGGAAGAGTTAGCACAAGTGATACAAGGTTTGCCCTCGTCAGCTCCTGGTCCGGATGGAATCACAACTGCTATGATAAAAATATTATTCAAAATATTATTCAAATTATCACCATGTGACCTACTAAACACAGTAAATTATTTGTTAAAATATGCCTGGATTCCGTATAAGTGGAAATTAGCTAAAATAGTGCCGATACAAAAAAGACAAGGATTCGGATATGTCATAGAAAACATTCGACCCATTTCTCTTACATCTAATATGGTGAAGCTCATCGAAAGAGTGCTCAATAAAAGAATTCTAATATGGATGGAGGAAAATTTGATACTAAATCCAAATCAAATTGGCTTCAGAACAGATTGTTCAATCTGGTGTGCACACGCAGATTTAGAAAGACGCATTCAGCTTGCTCGCAAAAAAAAGACAATATGCGGCACTAGTGACATTGGATATAGCTAAGGCATACGATAGTGTAGAACATTCAGTTTTATTAGACATATTAGACAGCCACAATCTCCCAAAATATATATTGGCGTGGGTGAGGGAATTTTTGAGAGGAAGAGAGTTCTATTGCTTTAAGGATGGTTGCGCATCGTCAATGTGCAAACAAACACGTGGTGTCCCCCAAGGCGCTGTATTATTGCCAGTTCTATTTAACATCTTAATGAGCACTATACCACATTGCCAGGACGTGAAGGTGTTTGTATATGCTGATGATATTGCATTTTTCACTGCACATAGTGACATATATTCTTTATATCAAAAGCTACAGAGATATGTCAATATGCTGGAGAGATGGCTAGATGCAGTCTGCATGACCTTATATTTAAATAAGAGTGCAGTATTGATATTCCCGTTATCCGATCCCATCTCAATTTCAATATGTTATAAACAAGAGCCCATTCCACAGGTGGAATCTCTTAAATATTTGGGAGTAATTTATAATACCAACCTGAACTGAACTCCTCACATAGAAAGCATGGCATCTAAAGCACAACGCGCCTTAGGAATTCTTCGTAGACTGAGCAGCCGCCGATATGGTCTACGCAGAAGCACAATGGTGATGATCTATAAAATGTATATGCGACCAATCCTAGAATTCGGGTGCGTATTGTTCTCAGGTGGCCCTGCCTATAAAATAAAGCCTCTGGTTATGCTGGAACGAGAAGCCTTGAGATTGTGTCTAGGACTTCCGAGGTTTGTAAGAAACAATGTTTTGTATCAGGAAGCACGATTACCTACATTGCCTTGCCGTTTTCGTATTCTAACGTTTCAGACGTTTCTGAAATTTTATAGCTATGCGCCAAGTCGATCTGAGTATGATTTTATAAATGACCCAGACAGCTTTCTTCTTGCCCATTGGCCACGCTTTCGAACACCTCAAATTGCTTTTGTCCAGAAACAACTAGATAGGTTAAATGTAAAAATTCGAGATGTAATTGCTTCGCAGGATACAAATAAAATTCTTAATATTGAATTCGATGAGATCTTTCTCTCTAAGCCCAAATTACAATCCTATAGGGTCCTAATTAGCCGACTGCAGGATTATCTTGCACACGCAGAAACGAATAATATTATAGCCACAGATGCTTCAGTATTGGATGAAAAGACAGGTGTAGGTATATACTCACATTCGCTTGACTGGTCTTTTTCAATAAGATTACCGGATTTCACCCCAGTTTTTGAAGCTGAGTTGTTGGCAATAGTTCTAGCGCTGCGAAAGCTACCTTTGAATGCCGCTAACGCGATCATAATAACGGATTCCCTGTCAGTATGTACGTCGATTACGGCGTCAACAAAATCGATGGCCTTAAAGACGCTCCTTATGCTAGTTGCTCCTCAGCTGCAGCTACTGAAATTAGTATGCGTACCCGGTCATTGCGGCTTAGAAGTAAATGAAATCACCGACTCTCTAGCACGAGCAGCATTGGAAGGGCCAGTACTATCGGTCCTTCCCGAAGTGGCCACTATAACTGCGACAAGATACAGAAAGCTTGCGCTCAGTGCAGACGCTATGGAAGCAATATTGTCAACACCAGAATTTACTCACTTAAGATTTCCATGGAAAAGTCATTGGTGTCCTACAAAACAGTTGGAAACCATAATAACCAGATTTCGATGTCGTGTCCCCCCGTTAAGTTTCTATTCACATAGGGCTGGTCTGGCAATATCACCACTATGCAACTTTTGTTCAGAATTGGAAACAATAGAGCACTATTTTTTATCATGTCGCTGATACAAATTGCTCAGGAAAACATTCTTAGTCCTCCCATTCGCTAGCCTGGGGCTGAATTTCACTATAGAAAACATACTTTTCTTCGGTGCTTGCGATTTGGGCTTCAGCCACGAGAACGTTTTCTACGCAGTTTGCAAGTACCTGAATGAAAGTAAAAGAATTAAGCTTTTAATTGTGTGATTAATATTCGTGCAAAAAATAATTCCAACGAACACAAGAACATTGTTTAACATGCTGATTCTTATTCAAGGTAATGAATAATTGTCTTATCTGCACGAGTGACAAGCAACTATTGCACTCCTTTCATTCTGACTAGGGTGTCTTTTCTTTTTTCTTTCTTTTTTCTGGTGGGTGGTTTCGATATTTAAAAAAATCTTACTTAATAAAGTCATCGATTCTTGGGCAATCCCCCTGAGTGGGTACGAGCCATGTCTTTGCAATCATCATCATCATCATCATCATCATCATCATCATCATCAGCTGTACAGCTGATCCTGAATACGCTCTTTTCTCTGCCGTAAGCTGCTGTCATCTTTTGTTCGCGTTGCACTGCGACAATATGTTTAGGTTTCTGTTGATTTCCCCTTGTGTGTGTTCTTATTTCGCTGCAGATGTTCACGGGTGTGGAGCTGTTATATGGCATGCGGACGAACTCGCTGGGGCTCATCTCAGACGGTTTCCACATGCTTTTTGACTGTTCTGCGCTGGTTATGGGCCTTGCAGCTTCCTTGCTGGAGAGACGCAGTGCCACACGAACGTTTCTATTTGGGTAAGAGGCTTTGAAGTATAATTAGTCTTTCTTTTATATGGGGTCATTGGGAAAGGGAAGATTGGAGAAGTTCTCCCATGCAAAAGATATTTCAGAGAAATTGTGGACACTGGTGGCTCATTGAGATGGCAGTGAATGGTGTTAGTAGATAGATAATATGATAGGTAATGTAATTATTGCGATTTTACATCCCAACACCACATTATGATTATTAGGGACACCATAGTGGAGGGCTTTCAGAAATTTCGATCACCTGGGGTTCCCTGCCATGCACCTGAAACTAAGTACACAAGTCTCTAGCGTTATGCCTTTATCGAAATATGGCTACTGCAGTCAGGATACGTTTCCAAAAGTGATAGTAGACCGAATGAAAGCACAAAATTTAAGACATAGTGCACTAATAAACATCACATAACTAGGTGGGCATAACATAAAGAAAATGAAAAAGCTTATTTGGCCCCATGCGGTAAATATCTGAATTAGAAAAGTTTCTATAATGTGTGTAGAGCATCTGTACTTCCAGTTCTGGTGTACGGAATGAAGGGCCATAGTTAGTGTAGTTTGTTGCATGATTAATAGTTTGCTGGAACAGGATTAAATAGCAAGAAAGGCGAAGAGAAAATAAAGGTGACAAACAAACGAGAGAGTCAGAAATGGAAGTGAGAGTGAGGAAGAGGACAGGAACTAATCAAGCATAGCATAGACAGATTGAGAAAGAAAATAATAGAGAGAAACAAAAGTAGAAAGAGAAAGAAAGAGTGTAAGAGAGAAAAATCGGAGGAAGAGATAGAAAGAAGCAAAAGGGAAAAAAAGAGGGAGCAAGTGAGAAGTAGAGAGGGAATGAAAGGAAATATGAAATAAAATGGAAAGGGCAAGAGAGAGAGAGATTGATTGATTAATTTGTGGGGTTTATGGTCCCAAAATTACCATTTGATTATGAGAGACGTCGTAGTGGAAGGCTCCGGAAATTTTGACCACATGGGGTTCTTTAATGTACACCCAAATCTGGGTACACGGGCCTACAACATTTCAGCCTTTGTTGGAAATGCAGCCGCCACAGCCGGGATTTGATCCCGCGACGTGCGGGTCAGCAGCCGAGTACCCTAGCCACTAGACCACCGTGGCGGGGCGAAAGAGAGAGAAAGCAACAAAATTAATTTAAACAAACAAATAACGAAAGCAATAAACAGAAAAAGTGAAGAAGAGAAAACTTACGCGATACAAAAACGAGGTCCCAGCTCCACAGTTCTTTCAGGCTTGGCACTATTAGTACAAAGCTGCTTTAAATTGTTGGGCGGAACATATACCTTCACTTATTGTTCTAATGCCTAATTGTCCTGTTACTGCAGCAATATTAAAAAAACTGTTTTGAAGGACTACGTAATTGTTATAAACTAATTTGGTCATTGCCTTCGTTGTACAGAGCGCTTTACACTTAAGGCTATACACAGATCTTTTTTCTATGTGTGTTGAAAATTGTTACCTCCCATGCGAGTTTTTCTGTTTTATGGATGTGATTTCCATTTTCTTGTCTGGTTTTTATGTTTTCTTAAGAAGTAGTGTTTTATTTGTTTATTCATCATTTGCATAAAAAGAAACTTAAAGTCCTGTGTTAGTGTCCTCATTTATTGTCTGTACTTTAGGCCTTATCATGCTGCATATGCCACTGGATTGAAGCCTACGTGTTGTCTTGCATGGTTTCAGGTACGGTCGTGTGGAGGTCCTCTCGGGCTTCATGAATGGGCTGTTTCTTGTTGTCATTGCCTTTATGGTCTTCAGTGAAGCCATCACAAGGCTTTTCGACCCTCCACAAGTCAAGACCGAGCGTCTCCTGGTATGTTGTTGCGTTAGCTAGCGGCACTCTAACCTATCTTAATAATAGGTGTTCCGAGCACCGACTTCACAGATTCTAGCATGCTGTCTTCTTAGCTTTCTTTCCACAAATCCTACCTGTGTTGACGTGTTGTACTTAGCAGACAGTGTGCAAAGCACAAAATGAGGATTGGGGAATTAGTGCCCGCCCGTAGTAGCGCCTCAGTTTTCTGTAATAAAGCAGTCAACCACGGCACCAAGCTTGCTCACATAATTATGGCCCGCATTACCTTGTCTCTCAGGAATGCAGGCCTGTTTATGCAATAACATGTGATGCCAGATTATTTTCCCAATTTTCTTAATTTTTTTTATAATTTGGCTGTCCATCCTGCTCTTGGGTCGTTCAGGGCCCATTGTCAGTCAATCCTTACAAGTGAGCACATGCCACTGTATTACCAGGGTACTGAATTCTAAGAATATTTTATGTACTTTTAAATAACCCCTTGCTCTTCCTCGTGCATGCACTGCTTGGCACAATTGGTCACTGAACAGGTGAGACGTCCCCACTACGCCACCGATCGCCAAAGAGAGGGAAGAAAATTCAACCCTTTTTCTATCCGGTTCCCTCTTGGCTACGTGTCTCAATCATTTCTCACATACAGGGATACGTGCTGGGGCCGAGAAGTAAGAGACGCTACGACTTGTTTCTGTTTACTGATTCATTAAATTTAATACTAACTTAAAACATCGTATACCGCGTACATCAACCACTACAATAAATTATAACACATGATTTGGACATTTGCGACATGCGACGCCGGATACATAAGGGAAACAACGGTGCCAATGCAAATGTGCCTCAATACAAAGTAAACACACGACGATACAAATGATAAAGTCATAAATTAACAAAACCGCGCAATGTCTCAATTCGCCACCTCCCTTCCCGCAAAGTTACTCTAAATAAGGTGCATAAAGTCCGTCTCACGAAAGGTCCATGTTGACGGGGGCCTCGGAGCTGGTTGTTCAAATCGGGGCCGAAGGTTGGTTCTTTCCGTAGCGGTCTGATCTGTCTCCTTCCGTCGCCGTCTTCATCGTCTTCGTCATCGTCGCCTATGTCGTCCCTCTTAGTCGTTTCCATCTTAGCTTCTCTACCATTTCGAGCTCATCGCATCATCCCTCTGACTCCCTTCGACTCTTCACATCGTATCTCTCCGACCCTTCACATCGTATCTGTCGGACCCCCCAAGCTCGTCTCGTAGTCCCCTTTTTGTAGGACCCGACTCCGCCCTACCGGGGCACCAAAACCAGTCCGCCACTCCACTTCGACGGCCGCCCCCGCGGCCTACACCAGTAGAAAACCCTCTCCCAAACAAAGCCGAGCAAGTAACGAGGTACAAACTCAAGCCTCAGGGAGAGTGATGAGCGAACCGTTCGATGACACTTTAATTACGGGCGAACAATGGTCCCGATGTTTTCGGTACTTGGCGAGCCCATGTCCAGACCGTTTCAAGGTTTCTATGCAGCTCAGTGTCTCCCACGAAATTCTCCGTAGTCGCCGCTTCCTCGTCGTTCACCATCGCGGGCGGCCATCCGCGCAGAACGCAGTAAGAGCCCTGGCGCCACGGAGACTGACGGAAAGGCATAATGGACCCGGCACAGGCGCTTGCCGCAAAGGTCGCTTTCCCCGAACCAACAAAAGGTGTTCTGCTGCTCCCCCATGCCACAGATCTGAAGGGTACGCGCCGATTATTGTACTCTGTCACACCATCTGTAGACGACAAGGCGCCGCCCGGTCCACGACTTTGCGTGGGGGAGCCCGTGAGAATAGTAGACATAATCCTTCTGGTACTTAACTCCGGAATGCCCTTTATGCGTGGGTTTGAAAACGAGCGCACACATCTCGAAAGGAGCGGGGTTCAGTCCGTGTTTGCGGGGACGTCACACAGGCATCATACATTACCTTCATCATTATGACATTTTCATATCAACATTTATTAGTGTTTGCATTTTGGCATGACTAAATAGGTAATATATTAAGTATAGACCTTGCGTGAGGTAAAAAATTCCGCCATATCCACGAAGTGAGTGATGATGAGTGGGCGAAGCTCCAAAGGTAAACCTGGTAAACCATGAATCCTCTGTACATTTTGCCCACTCGATTTTATTACATCGCTCCCCCTAGCATACGTCGCCGCACTAAATCGAACGATTGCCTTCAACCAATGACACGTGCCATATGTGACATCATTCCTATTTTATAAGATCTCGCGTCTTTCATCAACTACAAGTACCGCTTTCTAGTTTATAACTTCTTGCATCTTTTCATCATCAGCTACAAGTACCACCATCTAGTAAACACTACAAGAACTAAACGAGAGGTGGCTACATACAGGGGACGGTACCGCCATCTAGTGAGACACTGCAAGAACTAAACTAGAGGTGGCTACATACAGGCTACAGGGGACGCACAGCCCACGCCCTAAGGAGCTTCGCCCCTAAAAAGTGTATGAGGACTTGCATGTCACACAATCACCTTAAATATGCAGGGGATGAAAACTTAATTGTACATAATGTTATGAAATTTGTTGTTTAGCAGTTAATTAAATACATTGTGTTGCAAATTATGTGCTTAAAAAGCATGCATAATTTTCTAGCTTTGCGTAACAGTAAATATTTGGCATTTGTGTACACATATTTGGCATTTGTGTACAGCCGCCTACTTATTACCCTAATAATTCTTGTCCATTGGATTTTTAAGCTACTCCGTTTACATGGGAAATGGTGATCTCGTTCTACTTAATGCCCTTGACAATAACTTGGTGTTAGTCGAACAGTGTCTGAAAAGTCAATGCCATCGCCGTTGCTAGGCAAGACGTTTCCTGCTCTACATCCGCGTAAGTACCTAATAAAGAGGAGAGGAGGAAGAGCGGCGCCATAGCTGAATTGGTCGAGTTCAAAAGACGCTTGCTCAGAAGGTTGTAGGCTTGCTTGTGGCACGCTGTTTTTTCGTCCCGTTCAATTTCTTTACGCATATGTAATAATTAGAACACCACAGTTAAAGGCACGATAGATGCCTCCTATACATTGCTTGGCTTCGTTAGATCATACCTTGGGCTATGCGTCACCGGCGAGTGAAAGTGTACGCACCACAGAAACGCGAGCACCAGTCGCCGCTGTCCGTCTGCTATCAAGAGAAGAAGGCATGCCACCAGACGGCGCTGACAGCAGGAGTGTGTGGAAAGAAATGATCCGTAAACTTTTTTCTCACGGATCTACATTCGTTCTGGCATTAATGTACTATACTATACTATATCCGCCTTGTCAGCGAAGGCTCTCTCTGCGCCGCCATTATCTTTTCGGGGCTGTTGCTAACAAACGTGACCACCTGAAAATGCGCTGCCAAGGCTGGGACGTCAGCTTTTGTACTCCCGTGCAGCAGCCCCAGAAAGGAGGTGATCCTTCTCTCCGTTGAAACAGTTTACACTTTACTTCATTTCTTACTTAATGCATTGTTCAAATCCCGGTACCGCGCAGTTCCCAACCGGATTAAAAAAAAAAAAAATCCGCGTGTTGATGGAACTGCATTAAGAGGCCTGGGGTGCGGCCTCACCGGCAAACACCGCCGAAAACGCACTCCCTCACCAGAGAAGGATTGGCCACCCTGGTGCAGTATCTGGCCACTACCTCCCACATGCTTACGTCAAATAACTCACGGCCCTCAGTCCCCAGCAGCTGCGAAGCAACTGACCACGGCGGCGGTCAGATCTGCAACGCAGCAGAGGGCGCTAAGAATCTCTGGATCCGGACAGGCCGCCATTGGAACCTGAACTTGGCAACGTTTAATGCTAGAACCTTATCTAGTGAGGGAAGTCTAGCTGTACTATTCGAGGAGCTAGAGGGTGTTAAATGGGATATAATAGGGCTCAGTGAGGTTAGGAGGACAGATGAGGCCTATACGGTGCTACAGAATGGGCACGTCCTTTGCTACAGGGGCTTGGCAGACAGAAGAGAACTGGGAGTGGGGTTCCTAATTCACAGAAACATAGCTGGCAACATAGAGGAATACTATAGCATTAATGAAAGGGTGGTAGGTATCGTAATTAAACTGAATAAAAGATACAAGATGAAGGTAGTACAGGCTTACGCGCCTACATCCAGCCATGATGACGCTTCAGTTGAAAGCTTCTATGAAGACGTGGAATCGGCAATGAGTAAGGTAAAAACACAGTATACTATAGTGATGGGCGACTTTAATGCAAAGGTAGGGAAGAAGCAGGCTGGAGACCAGGCAGTAGGAGATTATGGCATCGGTACTAGAAACGCCAGAGGAGAGCTACTAGTAGAATTCGCAGAACGCAATAATTTACGGATTTTGAATACCTTCTACCGAAAACGAGAAAACCGCGAGTGGACATGGAGGAGCCCTAATGGCGAAAATAAGAACGATATAATAGACTTTATAATGAGTGCACACCCTGGAATCGCGCAAGATGTGCAAGTGATTGGCAAGGTACGATGCAGTGACCATAGAATGGTACGGTCTCGAATTCGCCTAGACTTGAAGAAGGAACGGCAGAAACTGATACGCAAGAAGCCAATAAATCATCTAGCACTGAGAGGGAAAGTACAGGAATTCAGAGTGTCGCTGCAGAACAGGTACTCGGCTCTTAGTGAGGAAACCAACCTTAGCGTAGATACAATGAATGATAATCTGACGAGTATCATTACGGAGTGTGCAGTGGAAGTTGGAGGCAGGGTAGGTAGACAGGACACTGGCAGGCTTTCCCAGGAAACGAAGAACCTAATTAAGAAGCGTCAAATCATGAAAGTTTCAAATACAACAGACAAAATAGAACTGGCAGAGCTTTCGAAGTTGATTAATAGACGTAAAGTATGCGGTGTAAGAAGGTATAACATGGAGAGAATTGAACACGGTCTGAAAAACGGAGGAAGTGTCAAAGCATTGAAGAGGAAACTTGGGATAGGCAAAAGTCGGATGTATGCACTAAGGGACAAAGA